GTAATGCATTGCCAAAGTGTCCACCCTGCGCGTTAACTTCAGCGCCTGCATTGATTAGTATCTTGACCACCCGCTCATGGCATTGTATTGAAGCTGCCTGTAGCGCGTTGCCAAAATGTCCTTCTTGTCCGTTGACATCAGCGCCTCTGTCTAATAACATCTTGACCACCTGCTCGTGACCTCCATACGCCGCTGTCTGTAGTGTGTTACCAAAGTATCCACCCGGCATATCAATCTTAGCGCCCGCATCAAGTAGTATCTTGACTACCTGCTTATGGCCTTCTACTAAAGCCCTCTGTAGCGCATTGCCAAAACGTCCTCCACGTGCGTTGACATCCGCGCCTCTGTCTAGTAACATCTTAACTATCTGCTCTTGGCCTCCACTAGAAGCTATCTGTAGTGCGTTGCTGTACTCTCCACTCTGCGCGTTAATGTCAGCACCCTTGTCCAGCAACATCTTGACTACCTGCTCATGGCCTCCCGCTGAGGCTGCCTGCAGTGCGGTGTCGAAATCTCCATCCTCTGCATGGCAGTACTTTCCACCCTGCGTGTTGACGTCGGCACCTGCGTCGAGCAGCAGCTTGACCACTTGCTCGTCGCCTCTAGCTGAAGCGTGGTAGAGTGCATCACCGTAGATTCGACTTCCGCCATTGACGTCGGCGCCTACGTTCACCTCAGCGCCGGCGTCGAGCAGCGTCTTAACGATCTGCCCGTGGCCCTGGTACGACGCTATCTGTAGCGCGTTGCCACAGCCGTTAGTACCCCACGCATTGATGTCAGCTCCTGCATCAATTAGTGCCTTAACCACACGCTCGTGGCCTTTCATTGAAGCTGCTTGCAGTGCATTGCCACTGCTGAACCTTCCCCCGTCGGCGCTAATATCGGCGCCCTTATCGAGCAGTAACTGCACCATCTCAAGTTGGCCATTCTTTGCTGCATAATTCAAAGGAGCGTATCCCCGGCTATCCTTGGCGTTTAGCGCCTCTGCAACAGGCACATTCATAGTAAACAACATCTTCTCGGCTATACTAGCGAGTCCAAACTGTGATGTGTAGTGCAAGGGTGTACGAACAGAATAACCTGTGCTATACCCTTCGTGCTTGTAGTCGGAGGCTAATAAAACCTGTTCAATTGATGAAAAAGAGTTCCCTTGAAGGAGCTCACAGGCACGAGCGGCGACCTCTACTTCGACGGTTTTCGCATGGCATCCCCAATACTTGGCCGCATAGTCTAAGAAGCTATTTTGCTGCAACCTTTCTTCAAACTCTTTGTCACTGAGGCAGCTGCCACTCTGGAAAGCGCTGAACGACAGATACGTAAGGCATGTGGTAGCGATATGCACATGGCCTCTGGGGTTCCACATATCTCCAGTCCTCTCAAAGTATTCTTGTGTAGTGTAGTGTACGAGACGAATGATATCGCTCTCTTGGTCAATTGTGACAAGACCAGCACATACGGAGACCAGGTCCCCAGGAGTATGTACATTCTCTGGATCTATCTCGTCTTCCCCAGACTCTACTGCTAGAGCGCAGCACATCTCGGCGGTAGTGAGCCGTCGTTTGGCGAGCGTGATCCACGACAGGACTTTTCTAGCCAATCTACAATCAACCTCTAGCTGACTGTCGATTCTCTGAAGTGTCCCTTTATACGCGTCGTCAAGGCCAGCTGCCCCTTTTTTGAGTGAGGCCAGAGTTTCTTTCACCTGTTTTGTGGTCTTCCTGCCTTGCAGCGAATTTGTATGCAGAAAAGCAAGTAGAAACCTATAGCTGCGTAAGTGCGCATCACTACCTTGATTGTATGGCCTACTCACATGCCACCCGCTGCATTTGCTATCTTCTCCTGTACTCTTTCCTGCAGCTCTATGTCTTGCTGTATGCATGGAGATAAACGATGCGTCTGCCCAGCCACGAAACGCTTGACGTCCTCTCTGCTAGCCTGCACCTCGAGACTTGGCCCTGTACTAAAAGCATCCTCGATATCTGAGATGAATCGCGAGGTGGCCATCAAGTGAACATCGTGTGTTGCCTGAAGATCTCGGAGTTTGGCCAGGAACTGGCAACGAGTGCCTCCATGGCATTCATCCAATGCATCGATCACTATATATACAGATTGATAAGATGCAACCACATCTTGGAGCGTGCTATAGATCTCGTCGAGGGATGGCTTAGTTCCTCGGTTGGTGTGCTTCAGATACAATCGTTCTAAGCAATCCGCCGTCGATAATTGGCTCTGGACTAGCTGCTTGAGAATGGCGCCCAGTAGGTTCGAAATGTCTTGTTCCTCTCGAGCTTTGTAGTCGCAGTACACATAAGCAACCCCGTGTGAAGTGTTCTGGGCTGTATTTAGTAGATGGTCGATTGTGATAGCTGCGATCATAGTCTTGCCAGCTCCGGGGATACCTGGGCAGAAGAGTGTAGCCTTGCTCTCATTGATCCAATGTGCGAGTTCATACGTATCCAGAAACCACTGTCCAGTTCCTTCCTGCCTATGCTTCATGATACTCGATTGTTGAGCGGGGTAGTCCGAGGCCGATATCCAGTTCAGAAGCCTGCTGTGCTTTGCAGAATCTTGGTTTTGTTGAATCGTGTTTACCCCAGACTGGACAACAGATACATGCTCCCGAACGAATTTAGTATCATCTTTGAGATCTTGCGAAAGTTTGCTTGTATATCTTAGCTATGTTGCTCTGCGGTACTAATGTAGAAACTCACAAATGATCCATGTGCAACGTGGCCGATATGTGTGTCTTCAGGCGCTCTATTCGAACCAAAATCTCTAAAATCTCGCCTTTCTTGAACTTCCACATGAGCGCATTACCAGCTTTCTTCAGGCGACTCCCGTCAGTCATCCTGACTTGCAGTGTTTCCAATGCCTGTTTGAATTGGTCCAGCGGTCCATTCTCGACTGCGAGCTTTCGGACAGCAACATAACATGACTGGCTGGCATCTGCCTCTTCCAAATGAAACCTTAGACTGAAGAGAAGGCTGTGAAGATTGGATACCTCTATTGCGCATTTCTCGCGGTCCTTTGAGGCATCCTTGACGTCGTTTAGGTAGCTGAGCACCTCAGCTGAAAGCTGAAGAATCGCGATGATGCTGGCCGTAACACTGAGGGGGTCCATAATGCAAAAACAAAGATCTGGTTCTAAGCATCTACCAGCTAGCGATGATGAGAGTGCAGGTCGAGACAACGAACAAACGATCAACAGGCTAAAGAGGGTGCGGCGGCAAGACCAAGCAGCTGCGGGCGATGACCACTAGGGTTGCGTGATAATCTATTGTTGAGCCGGTTGAAACATCAAAACACGGTCTACCGTTCCAACTTCAATACGTAATAATCCTACCATAACTCCACTTAAAGAAGCGATTGAGAGTATTAAATCGCCTGCGATAGGAATATCTTGTTACGACCCCAGAATCGGACAGCTATAAGAATACTACGATTGCGCTCACGCTGAACGCGTTCACGCTGATTACCCCTAAGCGGCAGCCAGCAGTTTGGAGGATCCAACCTAAGCCACCGTGCCGCAATCCTTCCTACCGTGCCACTGCTCATTACTAAGCAAGACCCACAGCGCTTACTAGTGAGCTGAACAGCCAATCAGGATACGGCACAGTAGCCAACCAGAAATCGCTCGGTATCGAGTCCTACACTACTCAACAATCAGCAAGACATATTCTTTAATATATAGAAGTAGGCATATAGCCTAACAGCTTAGTTTATTCAACTTAAGTTACGAATGCAAGTACAATGTATTACTATACTTGCAAAGACACTGTTCATACCACCCTGTTGCTTCATCCGTGTGACGACGTCGATACGGGTACGACTCGGAGTCGCCTCCAGGGCGACGCGGACAGGAAACTTCGTCCCATCCCTGATCAGATATCGTACACTGTCAAGGAAGGAGACTGTATCAGGTCCGATCCGACACCGGGGTCGTGGTGGGCATTCAAAGTGGTGGTGAAGGTTGTGGTTGGTGGAGTGGGTGGGACTAGCGTTGCGAAACTTGTGGAGTGACTATCCCTAGAGCATCTAGAATCTATACACCGTCTAAGCGGCGCTCAGACAACGCGTTAAGACACTTAAAGTAGCCCTTCTACAGTTAAACAAACACTGAGAAAGTCGATTAGATAGCTCTTCATTAAATAAACCTCTGGCATACTAAGTACTTGCCCCAAGGAGCTTAGCCTCTTACAGTAGAAAAAAAGGTTATTATTGCGCAGCAAACTGCCTGCTTGACGTCTAAAACAGCATCAACTTCTTAAATAACTAGCGATATCTTTATCTATTTTCCTGCATTGCAGAATGCATCACCGTAATGACAAATTTAAAACGCTTGGTAGGCCGTATTCCCAAAACGGATTCAAGTAAAGTTGACAACCATCACAGTATTCACTATACTACTGAAGAAGATGATCTGAAAACATTCGATGTCTTACTGGTTTGATGTCAGAATGTGGAACGATTCATCCGATGTATTGAAGCGAAAATTACTGGTAGCGCGAGACGGCACATGACGCCGCCTTTCCTCGTTCGAGCTCGGTAGGTCAGTGACGCTGCGCTAGTCGTGCGCCAAGCGTAGTTTACAATCTGCACACAACGCATCATGGTTACGTCTTTTTTATCATCTTGGAAGGAAGATTTCTCTTTACTCGCATTTGTAGGTAGAAACATCTGTAACTCCTCATCAGATATTCGTGAAATTCACGAAAAATCCCATGCGATCCGTCATGTTCCGCGATTTGTAATGAGAGGTCAAAATCATATATATATATGGAAATGAGGCAGCTCACAGCAACGGAAATCCAAGCAATCCTTGTACTAGTTCACTGCCTCTTGTATAGGCGAGCGATTCAGATATGTAAATAACAAGCACATCATGCCGAACAGATAAAAGGAGTGTCTAAAAACAAAGCAAATTACCAAAGGCGTCTGACAAGCGCTGTCCATTTGTGCGTGTGTGTGTGAAGATGCCATTTCCAAGATTACGTTGGAATGGAATAGAGTGACACCTCTGCAACACGGAATAGTGTAAAGGCTGCCAATACTCGCCTACTGAACTCGGGATTCAAATTATGAGTGCCGATAACACAGGCTCCAATACCATCTCCTATGAATATATAGCATCTGGGAAATCTTCCTCGACATCGTCCCAGAGATCTACCTCCAACGTCTTGTCGCCCTTCCGCCGTGTTCCATATCTCATCATCACACCCTTGCTATCTAGATGTTCGGCAAGTTCCTCGCCCGTACATGTACTCATTCCTTCCACGTCTTCCATGGTCGTTTTCAGCAATCTGGCAATAGAAAGACTGCTGGTATGATCTCTTATGAAAACCTTCCTACAATAGAAAAGAACAACGCCGATAGCCAGTATTTGACCTCCAAAGATACAAAAGAGGACCATAATTGGTTCCTTGAGTTTGACTTTCAATCTGACATCGATGAATAGTCGCTCAGATGCGCCTGGGATTTTTGTCACCTTTGGCAGCTGCATGTCAGCACCTAAGATGGCGAGAATAGGGAGACGTGCTGCAAGATGGGCAGGCTGCAGTTTTCCCTGGAATGCAATGCTAACATTTGAGTTAAAATATGACTCTCCATCTTGCTGGAGCACAGTGCCGAGCCCGGTTGCGAAGTGTTCGTCATACTCTCTATCAGAGTAAGATCTCACACCGTATACAGTGTCTTTCCCTATTTCTTGCCACCTGTAGTCAAAATGACCAACTCGATGGAGAAGATTTGAAGCATTGTAGGTGTTGCTGTTGGACGATTCGAGTAGCCCAAGCCCCGGTATGCTGTTATTATGACTAGTACACGTGTAACACTCGAATAGTACCCCGCTACTATTGCTTTGTTTCTCAAGGTCCGTGTAAGAATCAGCATAAAGATCTGAAGTTTCTATTGTCAGAATTTAGGAATTATAGGATAGGTGGTGGCCCTTATATGTTGTCGCGCAAGCTGAATCTTCATATAGTTCTGAATAATTCAGGGGAGCTATCCATATAATATTATCTTCTACATCTATTTCCATCATATAAATGGTTTTCAGAATAATGTCAAATATTGCAGTATCTATAACGTCACCTAAATGAAGGATTTGTGGTTAGTAGATTTGGAGCATCGGTGTCGTATTGTGCTTACCATAATCGACCACCCTCTCCTGGTTTTCACGTAGCGACATAGTTCCCCCAGAACACCTGGATGAACTGTGGACCACACTAGTATTGGATTTCGTAATTTCTTCACGGCGGTAATCTCTCAAATAGTACGAGTAAGTTACGTATTCTCCCTCAACCACACGATTCAAGCCTTGTCCATTTATATTTGTCATATTATAAGTGGAGGAGTTGCTGAAATCGAAGAAGCCGTCAGGCACGATCCCAAGGCCTGTTTTTGCGTACAGTTTCGTACGTTCTGTTCTTGTTATTAAACACGCACTTTCACCGATATAATCTAGTACTCCTCTCAGACTTACGGAGATTTTCATTAAGAAAGTAAAACCCAATATCAGAATCAGATAATCCGTGATCGCTCGAGAGTATAGAGTCATCAACCCAGTCTTTTGTGTTCCAGTTAGTTATACTGGTAGGGTACTCTATTCGTTGTTCTTCGTTCAAATCAAAGGTCAATCCGAATGCAGCGACACTAAGCCGGCCAATGATATTGGCGAGTAAATAGACCAAAACGGTTACTGTGGTAACACACCACTTTCTTTTGTGCACAGTATGTATCCAGATGAGCTTAGCAGCCCCAGTTGGATTTGATATGCCTAGAATTAGGTCGACCTAATCTAGGTTGTCAGCATAACAAGATGTTTGCAATAGAAGATAACCTTACATCAACTGCTGTGTAGAGCTTACGTGCTAGCAAAGGCCAACGAATCATGCTGCCTAATAAGCCTAGAAGCGAACCCGTGCTCAGGCTCACCAGCGACGAGAGAAAAATGGCCAATGCACTGAACCAGCGTCTCTCCCAACGACCGAGGACGCCCTTTAATGAGAAACTGTAAAGAACGGCCGTCATAGCAATGCTAAATACCAGAGTAGCCATCAAGCGCCAGCAGATTTCAGTCCAAAACAACCTGCCATGATGCATGCGGCGGCTTATAGGTCTGGCATGAGGGTCTTTCAGATCAATTGAAGTTTCTGTTGGTGACTCCGACGTAGACGAATCGATCAGATTGTATCTACTGGCGCACTCGACCATGGCGAAAGACTTGTAAAATAAATTTAGGTTAGATTGAGATGTTAGGAAGACTGGAGGAGATGAATGAAAACGAACTATTATTATATCCGCCGCGCAATGCTCGGATATTTCAGCTGGAGCTGAGCCTCCATAATAGTCTGGTCTCAGCCTTCACTAGTCAACACTGGTGAACGGTATGCTAGATAGTGGTCTCAGTGCAAGGATAAAGTTGGCTGCTTCCGTCGGCCACATCAATAGCCTACGCAGATGAAATAACGGTTCACCTGAGACGTACAGGAAGCGAGGCTATAAGAGTGAACATACCCTACTATGCCATGCGTCCTGAAAATAAGTACACACTAAACGGCCCATTGAATGTGTATCAACTAGACTACTGAGGATGATTAAGATACCAGGAATACTGACATACGGCTGGCTTGATGGAATGCATTGAGATTGTGTCGCGTTGGAGAACACTGCTTGCCGAGCTGATTTCGGTGCTTATATTTCTTTTGTTCTACGCTATTCTGTGGTGAGCCCAGCCTGTAGGCTCACCATGAATATATTTCTGCTGCTCTATTCTACATGGAGTAGTAATCCAATGGAAAGATTCCCTGATCTCTTGTCACTTAAACTATCATCTTTTATGGAATAGCATCGATACGTCTGTATTAAGAAAAGCGTGCGCCCAAGTCCCTACGCGCTGGTAGTCAGGCCCCAAAGAATACATCTTTCTATCTAACGCAAACTGACGATGTTCACTGTAAGACCAGGCCAATAGGAAATCAGGTCCATTTTTGTGTGCTAGGAAGCTGGTTGTGCTAAAACAAATCCATCCCACTACTAGTCAGGCGCTGTGCAGAACATGACTGCAGACAAGACTTCACGTGATTACCCATCACGTGGCTGGGCACAGCCTGCAACCTCACAATTGGGGACAAGAAACGAATCACTCTTTGCTGTGCTTCGAATAGGATATTTTTAGAGACTGTCTAAGAGGGGTGCCCTTGGAAAAAGGATACTAGAGCAGTATGTACAAAGAGGCTGAAATGCATATACTTATCAATACATTGCTGCAGATACGGAAAGACCCGAGATTCCCTACGTAAGCAAGAACATGTGGGTGATCTCGGAAAAGTAATGGATGTTGAGCTTCGATGAACTGCAGCAGCCAGCACAGGGTGAGGATTGCAGTGCATCATGAAACTTGGTCGTGTGAAGACTGGCTATCGAACACAGCATGGTTTCGCACAACAAGATTGATTGAACTCACAGCAAAAGTCTAGAACAGCTAACAATGTCAATCCCGAACTAGCTAGCTGGAAAGCCTGCTCTAGCCATCTTCTTCCCTCGCTGCGCCTTGCGGTTATGATTTGCACTCGATCCCTTATTCGCTTCCTTTCTCTGCCGCGAGATTTGCGTTGCTTTGTCATCATTAGGGCCAGCGACGTTACCACCGCCTCTCCCGCCACCCACTCCGCCTCGTCCACGGCCTCTTCCTCTGCCCCTACCCCCGCCACCTCTTCCTCCGCGACCACCAGATCCATCGCCACTAGCTTCATCTCCAGATTCTGCAGGGCTCTCCCTCCATGCCGTTGACTGTAGTTCTCGCTGTTGGCCCTGGAAAGTAGAGAATTTCGCCTCGAGACGCCGTAATTGCTTGGGATTTCGTCCCATCATTATCCCCCAGCCCTCGATTGCTTCATCCGTCATTCCTGTCTCGCTCTTGAGAGCAGTTCGTGCTTTGCCTCTTCTAGTGTCTGAATCGCGACCAAATAGCTCGGGTGTCATGGTGTATGCGCGGAACAAAGCCTCCTCGTTCTTATCGCCAAGATCAGCGTCTTCTCCTGGTCCTAGCGCGGCGGTATCGACTGATGCACCGACATCTTCAACATCGTAGGTGTCGTCTCGCTCATCGTCATCTGAATCAAAGGTTGCTAGAGCGGCCCAGATAGACGACTTGGCGGGCGTCTTGCTGCGGTCAGAGAGGATCTTATCAGCGCTGAGGTCTTGGCCTCGCCGACCAATGTGAAGGCGGGATGTATCGACAGCAAGTTTATCAAAATCATCATCATCGAATACATTACGACGCTCAGGGATGTATTGACTTGATCGGGGAGGTGGAAGCGGCTGTGATGGTGTCGTGGGAGTAGGCCTATAGTTTGTAAGCATGGCGAGTCCAAAGTGGTTGTCACAAGTAGAACTCACAACTTCTCACTACGGTCCGCTTCGGCAAGATGCGGTGGTAATGACTCTTCTAGTAGGTGTGCAGTGACTTGCTCGATATCATCATTGTACTCATCCAAACACTTCACAATAAATCCAGCACCGAGGTCTGGAAAAAGGTCTTGTATCTGGGTAATCATGCTCATCCGGTGAACATGAATCTCTCCGATAAAAGCCCCGTGACCGTACTCATCCTGCGTTGCCTTGGCTTTGCCCTTGTTCGTCTTCCGTCGTATCAACTTCTTAGGCCGAGCAATACCCGATTGACGGAAAGCACTGAGTGACGCTGCCGTATTTTTCACTCTTGACGCTTCTGGAGCAGTGGCCTTGTCTCTGATCTTCTCCAAGAACGGCGTATTTGTGACCAGATCTGCTACTAGTGTTTTCTTTCCTGCCTCTTTCTTCTGCTCTTGTTCTTCGCTAGACTTTAGACTATATAGATGATCGGAAAGAAGCGAGTAGTTTGGTTTAAGGCCTTCCAACGCTGCTGTGAGGCCAAGATATGTTACTGTCACAAGCTTTTTCTGCATGGGCTGGGGTACTCGTGGATACGCTGCCAAAAGAGCATCTAGAAAGTCGGATCCGGTAAGCATGAAGAGACTCGCATCAGTCGAGGCTCTGAGAAGGGGCGCTACCCTATCAAGAGTGCTCTCGGTCTCCTCTGGTCGCTTCGACTCCAGATTTCTGATCAATGATGTCTTGGCGGTCTGGAGTGATTTTTCAATAGTTGCGCCCTTTCGCTTCCACAGACCCTGTAGAAGTGTGCGAAGTTGCTCGCTCTTCGGGTAGACATGGCAGAGATCAGAGAGGGCTGACCAGCTGAGGAGAGCATTTGGGATGTCGTCTCTTGAAAGCAGCCGATGTGATAGAAAGAAAGCCTTCTTTCGCAAAGACGCTACGGTAGATGGTAACGTGTCGTCATTGGCCAGTTCATGGAAGAAAGACGTCAGAAATGGAGTAAGCATATCCTTCTCTTGAATTGTTGATACAAATTGTTGATCTCCTAGGCGCAGGTATAGCTCAGCCAATGAAGACCATGAGTCGAGATAAAGTTGCCATTCCTCGGGTAGTATGCTCTTTCTGACTTTTGCGTCGGGGAATGGAGCAAAGTGGGGTAGTGACATTACTCCGGGTGGCCGTATGAAGAAGGAGATAAATGAGAAGTGGGGAGTACAAGCGCGGCGTAACGGTCGGAAGCAAGTCTTTATGGATTTCACATCTGGGTGTTTTTATCCTAGTCATGGAGTCATGATGGCTCATGGGTCTGCCTGGGGCGCGATCAAAAGGGAGCGATACCCGATCTGGCACTAGCGCCCGCAATCTTGGCAGTCGCCGCCCACAAAGTGATTTTTGTCGAAGCGCGAGAATTCAACGACTACGAACGCCGTCGCCAATTTTAACGCCGCCCCAGTCATCACATTACCGAGATCAAGGATCCAGGTCGTGACTGGAATCTACACTCAGCACCTACAACAACAAACACTCCGACCTCCAATCCAACAAGATGTCTTACAACAAGGCCGAGAAGGACTTCGGTGAGGGTAAGGAACCGCGCATGTAACATTTGCGACGACGACGTTCTCACACACAGCGCAGGTCCCAAGATCCACAAGATCCGAATCACCCTCACCTCTCGCAACGTCAAGTCCCTCGAGAAGGTCTGCCAGGAGCTCATCGACCGTGCCAAGAACAAGGAGCTCCGCGTCAAGGGTCCTGTCCGTCTGCCCACCAAGCACCTCAAGATCACCACCCGCAAGACCCCTTGCGGTGAGGGTTCCAAGACCTGGGACACCTACGAGATGCGCATCCACAAGCGTAAGCACTACAACCTGAGGCATGTGCAGGCGCAAGGCTAACAATTGTAATAGGTCTCATTGACCTCCACGCCCCCACCGAGGTCGTCAAGCAGATCATCATCAACATCGAGGCCGGTGTCGAGGTTGAGGTCACCATCGCTGCTTAAGCGCTTGCTTTTGGGCAGAGTATATGGAGAAGTGTCATGGGTCTGAGTAGACAAGTGGCAATGGACAGCTATAGCAGCTGGGAATATGAAAATGAAATGATTCAATACTCCAAACCGTTCCGCACAGTGATGTCGCCCGTTCATTCGGGTATTCTTGCTGACGTCGCACATTGCACATTTTCATACAGCCAATCATTATACCCAAGACCTCATCCATAAACGACGTGGACTTTATGCTGAATAGTTGTCCGGAAGTCTCTACAGGCTTGCCGTGTGATACTACACTATACCCTCCGCCCTCATTTTCTGACAATAACCATACCTCGGCACTTGATGAAAACAGAAAAAATCTTTCTCTTCGATCTATTAAACCTTTAAATAAGAAACACGACGACTCACTACATAACAACGCAGCACATTTCGCTCTTGTAACGGTGTGGTGCGTTTGAGGAGCCATTTTCAATATATAGTGCTATTCTTTACAGTCCTGAGTAACATGTTACGATAGCTGAAAAAAGTGCGCTGGGTATCGAATGGCTACTAGAAAACTACTAAGATATTAATCAAAAGAAATTGTATAGAAAGTGGAGGTTCAAAGCATCGTTTCGCTGTCTTGGGTTTAATGCCCAAATACTGCTTCCCGCACAAATGCTCATGAATTCTCACACGTTAACACCGAGAGAATACATTCGGTTGTGGAAAAAAGATTTCAGGAAGCAGTTTCCTCCCACTCTAGCATTTGGGAAGGCATCAGCGTAGGAGACGAAGGCGCAAGCGGGTAGGAAGTAATGTCATGCAAGCGCAGTCTATCTTCTCCTCCGTCACTGCACTCTCAACACTCACATTAAAACCATCACCAAAACAAACTTCATAACCATCCTCATGAGTTTTCATCTACATCACACCACCCCCATCCTTTGCAAGATCATCTTATCCATCCACTCGATCAACCACTCAATCAACCATCCCACGCGGAAGCCTCGCCACAAGCCTGAGATTGGTAGACCACCCTCTCTTCACGGGTCGCACGCATAAATCCTCTTCCTCATCAGTAGACGCAGTAGCAGCAGCAGCAGCAAGCTTCCGCCGCCTAAAGCAGTTTGTAAACGGCGAAGCGTACCCGGTGCGCCGCGTCCCGATGTCCACTCTCTCAACTTTTCGGTGCTTGCCTGGCAGAAAAGGAGAGACTTACATGTCACTGGTCGATACAGGTGTACTGCCACTTCCATTCCTAGACTGACCCTTCGCGTTCGCTTCGTGATAGATGTCACCCGTGGAGCGAGTGTGGTGCAAAGCTAGATCATCACTCAGCTCGCCGAAGTCGGAGTGCGCTAAAGGCAAGCTGTAGGATTGGGCGAATTCAGTACAGGCTTTGCTGGCTGAACTTCTGCGTTCATGCTTCAAGTGAAGGCTAGTTGCCGCATCGCCTTGGACGCCTGTCGATGGTACCGAAGCTGGAGTGCCATGACCATACCATGCTGCATGCGAAGTTGGCTCGGCGTCGCTTGTAACAGCTGCTTGGTGATGGGTCGTCTGGGAGCGGACAATGTGGTCTCGAGGGGGATATACAAGTGGTGGTGATTGAGTTCCAGAACATGTGATGTCAAGGTTGTGCTGATATCCGGTAGGGCCTGGGTTTCCAACAAGTGCAGAGTGCGAGTCAATCTGTTGAGGGATCAGGAATCTGACTCTTCGTCCCATGGGTGACTCTTCTCTTTGGATTGCATTTGTGGCTTCGGACGGACCAGGTACAGCAGCTACTTGGATTGCTGGAGAAGAAAGGGAATCTGGATTTAGTGGGAATTCCTCTTGGTTGATTGGTATACTGGAAGCTGACTTAAGTTCCGTATAGTCGCTGAGAAGTTCGAGCGCGAAGGGCCCTGATAGTTTCGATGGTATATTGAAAGAGTTGGATGATTGTTCACCCAATGACGGTTCTTGGATATGAAGACCCAAGCTGGTCTGCAATGAAGTGGTACCGCTATTGTTCCCGCTCTCTGCTGGATGTACCAATTCCACGACATGTTCATTGGGTACAGGTTGCTCCTTGGTAAGGAGATTGTCCGGCTGAACAGACTGATCATTCCCTGACATGTCCAGGCATTCAGTTAGACTCTTGGTATCGCCTCTTGTCGAAAATCCCGCTTCTTTTTGTGTCCAGTTGTTCGTAAACCGCGGGGCTACAGACGAAGCTGGTGAGGCTTCGAGGTTCGCTGTCTCCGGCGTATATGTCTCGTTTCGATCTTCTCTACTTATCGCGATGTCTGCGGGTCCTGAGGTGCTTCTTTGTTCTGAAGATGCGATTCCCGTCGGTATTGATTGGCCTTCCTGTTCTACAGTTGAGCCATGTTCCTCAGGGTTAGCATAGATATGATCTACATGATTGGAAGAAATAGACTTGACATCTGACTCAACGTGCCCATCGCCATGAAACTCCTCACTGTACTCGTAATACCGTACCGGAGCCTTCTTTCCGAAAACGATGCCCTTTTCGTGGCTCATATCAGCGGGCCTTAGCACCTGCATGCCGCTCTTTTTGTGAGATGTTCTGGTGGGTGTGCTATGTTGAGGGCTGCGAGGGAAATTCAAGTCGTATGACGGAGCATCAGAGCCAGCACGCAATCTCGTCGAACTGCTAGAAATAGAACCAGAAACAGACCTCTTGAAACGAGCATATTCAACCGCAATACGTTGTTTATGATTTTCTGGCAAAGGTGGAACTTCGAAGTGTTGATCATCATGTATGTTTGTCGCGCGACTACGATGGAGCTGGGAAGCATCACTGCGCATACCTTCCGACTGCTCTTTGCCTGAACATTCTTGAAGAGGAGGAAAACGAAACTCCCTCTGACTTTGACTCTCCTCGGAACTTAACGAGGATGACTGAGATGGCCGCCTGTTCTTTGTTTTTCCCAAGTTGTGCGGATTAACAAGACCACCATGCTGTTGCCCCTGTTGGGTGGTCTGGCGATCTCTATCACTATAAGAGCGCGCAGAGCTGATGCTGGGTTGGTAGTAGCCACTATTTGACGGCCCCTGTCCCTCGGAGCTGTGCGAAGCTTGTACACCCAGAGGTATACTGTTGTTCAAGGCAGGTGACAGCAGCCGACTGTTGAGGTTCATTGGCTTGGGGCCTGGTTTGTATGAACCCACGTGTGCGTATGAGTTCTGGGATTGCGGGATATAAGCGCGGGGCGGACTTGTAAGAGGCGGGTTGCTCGAGAAGCCACTGTAAGGCTGTATGGCATGTGCTATCGACTGCGAACGTTGCTGGCCTTGGTATCGGTTTCTCAGTGTGCCTAGTGGCGGTGGCCCAGAGAGTATCGGCATCGTTGGGGGCATAGCGTTCGTGCCATACTGCAGACGGTGTGACGCGGTTGGGTATCGTAGTACGGAAGACGGCGAGGGATGTCCGTGAGACTGCCCGCTGTTTATGCTAGAGGTGTTGCATATTGAGGAGGCTGTCGGCACCATGCTGGTCTCATGATGCCGCTGTGTCTGGCGAGGGGTGTTGTCAAAGCCAGACGAGTCGTCCATGAGGACGTCGCCCACACTGCCCATTTCCGTCTCAGTGCGGAGCATGGAAGAGGCACCACGGCCAACAGGAGCTAAGGATTTAGAGTTGGGCACTCGGCCTGGTGTTCTTGCTGATGTGCGACTCGTATTTGGTGCATTGGAGGCCCTCGATGTGCCACCGCTGCTGCCGCCTCCGCCTCCGCCGTTGAGGTCTTGATCGGACTGCATGGTACTGCAACAGATGCAAGATATGCTGATGGGGAAACAGACAAAGAGATGATGCAAGGTACAAGCAACGACGCTATGCTGAGCTTTCTCTTGTTTGCTTGTGGGTTGCGTTGACTGACGGACAAGCCATGGGTATGGCCAGGAGATGGCGATAGTAAACAAAAAGAAGAGTATCCCAGAGAGAAAAGACCAGTAAGACTTCTCCTATCGTGTCCAGTATCTCGATGGAAAGGAGTTTGGTGTTGAGGATTTGAGTGCGTGATGATAGGTGGGGTGAGGAGGCGGAGATAGCTAGGTGAAGACGATATTGACAATGAGGCTCGCGCCTCCTCTACACCTATCGCGACCAGAACCACTCTCCTCACGACCGCCTAGCAGAGAGGAACAGCTGCAAGAGTTGAAACAAATGGAGGCGACAGAAAGAAAGCCAGTAACGTATGTGTTTATGGATATTGACTCTACTTACGCCGTGTATACTGCACTCTTGAGATGTGTGTTACAACACAACGCCTTCAGACACATACACGGCCATCAAAAGCATCCCGAGCCTCCTTTTTCCGGGATCCACTGATCAGGCAACGGTTTCGAACCAGTTATTATACTGCGCATTACCAGCGCCGACCTCGAATACCACCAACGACTGCTCTTCGCAGGGCAAGACAGTCGATCCTATCAGCCGCAAGAGTCTTTGGCGCAACGGCATCTCCCACGCCAACAATACCAGCCTACAAGGCAAATTCCACACTGCATAGCTCATGATAAAAGTAATATGGCAAAACGAGAGAATACAAAATATATACACTTGTCCAGTTTCCAGTCGACTGCCAAAGACGGCCAACTTAACCAACCGCGACACACACCAAAAAAAGAGAACGACAAAGAAGCATCTGAAAATGCAAACGAAACGATCAAGTTACGCGGTTTCAAATGGTGGGGTATATAGCCATGCAACGCCATACGAGGTTTCAAGAATTGCACAGAAATATAACGAAGAAATGAGTAAGGAAACTGGGGAAAGCGGAGGAAAATCATCACTACTCAGCGATAGGACCGATATCGCCCGACTTCTTCTTGCTAAAGAGTCGCTTGAGAGAGGTAAAGCTACTCCGCTTGGACAGGCGCTTGGCAGGGGTCTCTTGGTAGGTGGACATGGAGGTGTGAGGGCGGCTGGGGATATCACCGGGTTTGGGGAAGGAGTCGGAGGAGCTGAGGACGGGGGATTTGTTACTGCCGAGGTTGCTGGAGATGGAACCCTTGGGGGTGCTGAGGTTCCGAGTGGGGAAGAGACCGAATTGGGCGGTTTGTCGTGATGACATGGATGAGGCTGAGCGGGGTGATCCATATGCTGGCGACATGGCGGATGCGTCGGAGACGGAGGAGTAGGCGGAGTCCTTGGCGGTCAAGGGAGGACTGGAATCTTCGGTATCTGGTTTCGTGTCCGTATGTCGTGTTGGCGAGGATTTCTCGTCGTCGTGCATGTTGGATTGCGATGGCTTCTCCTGGTTTCCTCGAAGCTGGGGTGTGCTGGTGGACTCTGACAGCGGCGTGACTCTTCCACGGTCCTCCTCGGCAAACCAAGTCCCCTGGTAATACTCATTCTGATCTTTCTGGCGTTGCACACGGACGTCAGCACTGGAAACGGCTGACAACGAGGACGAATCTTGGCTCCGCTTCGGGGTCTCGGTGGCAGAGTCGGATGTGTCGATGATTTCAGGTTGGTGTTGAGGTTTGGATTTTACGGTAGTATGTCGTGAAGGCGTCTCCCGGCCAGAAGATGTAGCACTCAGAAAAGGAGGGCGTTCAGAAGGTGGTGTGGGGAGAGGTTTATTGTTGGCAAAATTCCGGAAGGAGCGACCCTCACGTGAGTTGGACGAGTTCCGTGATGAGGTACGCGTTGCAATCTAACCAGGTCAGTACTCTGGAATAAAACCAACCCGAACCGAACCTTGGACAGGCTAGGGAGGATGCTGAGAGACGGCAGGACAATCTTACCAAGCTTCGGCGACTGGCAGCACCACAGCGTTTCTCAATCTCATTGCAGTAGCTGCTGACTTGTACCAGCACAACGCCCAATCTCTCTGCCTTTGCGACCAAGCTTTGCAAGAACTGCGACCAACCCCCAGTATTTCCGCACATGGCGGAGTATATTCGTCCGATGTCCTCGTTCCGATATGTCCAAGCGTCTCCAACATCAGCCAGGTACACGTCCAGCTCCCGGTTTGCTTCGCGGAATACGTTGATGTCGACGAGGTAATCATTGAGTAGTTGGGACATGCGGCCGATGGTGCGTTCGATTACGATGTTGCCGTCAAGCAGCTGGGCGCGATAAGAGCGGTCTTCGAGAAGGCGGTCGAATTCGTTTACGTGCTCCATGGGGACCTTGAGACACTTGTGGCGGAACAGCATGTCCTTCATGCTGCTTTCGAGATCGTCGTTGGCACGCTGGAGGAAGCTGTCGAGCTCGTTGACATGCTTGAGCAGAATGTCGGCCACGTCGGCCACGGATTTTTCGAGATGCTGATGCAAGAGGTGGACACCGAAGACGATCTGGGCAATTGTTTTTGTCAATGCATGGAACTTTGCCTTTGGGTGCTGGCGCCAGTAGCAGCTGTAGGTAAAGTTCCACGAGGGCTCGAGAGCCGTCTCGTCTCTGCACAGCAACTGCTGCCGAGTCTTGACGCCTCTCTTCGGGGCTACAAAGGGCACATGGCCAGTCTCGCCCGTGGCATCGAGCATAGACTCTTCAAAGGGGGCCTGCATGGAGGCTATGGGGTGGATGGGGAAGGTGGCCGTCATGATGCGTTTGTCGCGCTCGTCTTGCCATGCGTAGGAGTCGTCGTCGTCTTCGAAGCTAGGGCGACTTTTCTGGGAGGGTCGCCGGAAGGGAACCATGGTGATGTAAGGATTAAAGGGCAGATTTGCGGGCCCCCAGGGGCCAAGCGGTGGCTATCAGCTCGGGGCGTGGTGCAACAAAGCCAATTCACGTCCTTGTCTCACGGCCCAAGGCGTCGTCGCAGCGTGTAGAGTACACGGACGCGCGAGCGAGGAAGGGGAATTGGCGCGGGAGTGGGTTGGCTCGACGTCCACAGGGAAGATCCTACTACTAGCAACGACACATGGCTGGACCGGGCATTGTGGGGGGGAAGGGAGGGGAAGTTGGACGGCGCAAGCGATGGAAATGTTCAGACGTGTATCGGAGATGGCGGAAAGTAGACTGGACGGCGAACATGGTCCCAAACGTCCAGGGCGGCGTTGGTTCGCCAGCGCTCAGGTCACCGGCCACAGGGGAGCGCCTTTGGGGGGCGCCAGGAGCGTCTGCAGGTGGAGCGCACGCTTTGTCCCCAACGAGTTTGGTTGCATTCCTTAGTGCCCGTGACGGCTGACGAGCCAAAAGCAGGGTGGGGAAACCCGTCTCGCCACCACACGAGATGGGTAGGGTAGTAGTATGTAGTATGTAGTGGTTGGTATACGGTACTGTACCGTGTACTCTGCTGCGTGGTGTGTAGTACAATGCGTGCGTCGAGTGCTCCTAGGGCATTGCATTCACGCCTACGCCAGGCCGCGTACCTATACGAGACCACAACACCCACGTGCCTCTTCTTTTCCGCTGTCCTACCATTCACCCATGTACATCCATCCATACAGACAATCCAGACTCTCTCTGCCCCCGACACCAGCTTGTTTTTTTGCCTTCGTCTCACCCCTCACCTGCAACAAGTACGCTAGAAGATGCAATGCAGCCGCCAGCACCAGACCAGGGACACGAATAAGCAACGGCCTGCATCTCCACGCTGCCCTCCGCCCTGAGCAGCCCATACAAATCCCGTCCTATCGCTCTGTCGCTCTCGTGAAAAAGCGCGCCGAGAACCTGCCGGCAGCTTGCTGATCGCAGCCCTCCACCACGGATAACCTCACGAGCTGAAACACCCCAGCCCACCACACACACACACACACACACATGCACCTGCATCTCCTCCAACGTCATCAGGCCCCAGGTCCGCACGAGGGACGGGCCTGTGGCGCCTTACTAGACCTGTCGGCTCCTGAAAGCCTTTTTTTTTCGCAAACACACCAAAAACCGAACAAAAAAAAGGACATTCGTGACTTGCCTAATGACTGTGCCTTTTCGTGCAATGACCAACCACCACCACCAACCAAAGAAACAAACCAAAAAAAACAGCCCGTCATCCGCGCAAGCGAACACACCCACCCTCAAGCCTATTGTGCCGCAAAAAAAAACCCCTCACTGAACCCCCATTTCCCACTGCCCTTTGCCAACACATCGTTCCCTTACATACCTGTCTACCGACCACGCCCCCTCATCACCTTCGTTTCCCGCCCTGCCACGTGCCATTCTCGCATCGCCTTCCCTGCAACCCAGTCCCCTCCCAAGGCCCAGTAGGTAAACTAACGACGCTTTCTCCCATCATTGCAGGTGCGCCGGGGGGTNGGGGGGGGGGGGGGTCTTTAGTCTCGTTTAACCCCCCTAGACCCTTTTCCCTCGAGCGCAACCCCGACAAAACAAAGGGAAAAAAAAGCTTAACAATAGAGGTGGGAGATGTTGTTTCAGGTCTACATATATCGTTCCCCCCGTTCAGCTATTATCGGGAAGGCACGGGAGGGGGGATATGCCACCTGTCAAACCATCTTCCGGGCCGCGGGATGGGAGACCGAGGGGGGTTTAGCTTGGGGGCGTGCGGATTGAGAGGGGGGGATGGCGTTTAAGGTAGGCTGGTGGTGTAACGGGCAAAGGGCGTTTTCTTGAGTCGTAAGGGCTTTTCAAGAAAGAAAAAAAGACGTTCAAAGAGTGATATAGTAGCTCGTAAGTAGTAGAAATCGAACATAATTGTAACGCATGCAGATCTTGATGTTTTGGTAGTATTACAAACTCTCTTTTTTTTTCTCCTTTTACGAGGTGGAAACTTTATGGATGAGGGTTGCGAGGTTTGTTTCCCTTTCCCCCCCTCCCTCCCGGCTAACAAAACATGCACCGTGTGGTTTTGTGGTTATTTACCGCGCTAGAGATTTGCGAGATGAGAATTTATCTTGAAGGCAAGGGGGGGTATAGAGTAGGATTTCGGGTATGGGGATGCGAGGGAGGGGAAATAGGAAAATAAGCCTTGAGGGGGATTATCATACACGGTGTGCGTGAAGTGAATAGAGCAAATGCCTGCCTGCCTAGGTAGGCAGGCATTTTGCTCTGTTACTGCGGTAGTTTTGTTAGTACGAGAGAATAAGACAGGCAGCTTTGCCGCTAGCAACAAACATGGATCTTCTTTCTCATCTGCCCTGAGTGTCAGCGCAACAACCCCACCCGTTTACAAAGCAACATGCACTTTGCTGACTGAGGCGTTATGAATCTCAATCCCGGGATGATATAGGGTTGGGAAGTTTAAGATGACGGGCTTTTTTTTTTGTCACATGCTGGTAACGTAAGATGAGAGAAACGAAGGAGGTGACACCCCTGATATCTCTCCCCCATCTCCGGTCGGCCGCATATGTCTGTGCCCCCCGGTGGTTCTATAGTATGTTAAAAGACATATAAACCCAAGGCAACGAAAAGAAGGGATGCAGGGATTAAAACGGGACGGGAAAAAAGCCCCCGGACGCAAAACAAAAAACCATTGCGCATGAGCGGGCATGCGGCATATATTAAAAAAAATGCTCCGAGTGGTACTAAGTAGTGAAATATTGGTTCACTCCCATCTTCTTTTCTTTTTCTTTTTCTTTCGCAAGTTTCTACATACATGTGCGTAGATACCTTACCATCCCCGCCATCGGACCCAAACGTCTACCACCGTCTCACCACGCTCCTCCGAATCAACCACAAGATACCATCCAAACCCTGCACCGGCGACGCAAGCGTGATTCGGCCAAACCATGACCTTGTCCCCAATCACCAACTCATTACACGCGCCCCTGTCACCTTCCCAGGTCAGTATGCCATGTTCTTGGCTGATGCGCCCGACTATCCAGCCCGTCCGGCCTGCCTGCTCGTCATAGATGTGCTTGGCGGATGAGTTGCCCAGGTCAGGCGTTACGATGCCCCAGCCAGTGTACGACTTGCAGGGCTCGCGGCCCATGGCGAGAGAGCCGGCTGAAACGAGTGCCTCAGGTTTGGTGCGCTCGTTGTACACACTTGTCACCTCTAGCAGCATGCGGATGCCGATGTTGGACTTGGAGAGCGGCTGGAATGCTGGTGTTGGTTTGGCAGATGAAGAGGTGGGTGGCCGCGCGTGTGTAGCGACTTGCTGGCAGTCGAGCAACGGGTACACGCCTGCGTGCAGTTCGACGAGGTGCTGGGCCTGCAGCCGGGAAAGCACCGTCTGAAACTCGCGAACTCGTGGGGAAGTGCTGGAAAGCATGTTCTGGGCTGCTGTGGCAGTCGGCGTCGCACCAACGCTCAGCACCAGTTTTCCAGCGAAACTCGCCGGCACGGCCTTAGTCGCTGCCTCGAGCCCGATTAGCTCTTCGATCAACCCGTAGGCTGCATCGTCTTCAGATGATCCAGCGTAACTGTGGCCGAAGTGAGTGTAGAAACCTTGTAAGAAGCACTTGGATCCTGTTTCTTGCGTCTTTGAAACTATGGTTGAGACGAGGGTTGGGAAGGATGGAGATGACGTCTTGATGCCCGCACGCTCGTAGCCTGTGTCGATTTTGATAAAGACGCCCAACTCGACTTGACATTTCGATGCAGCGAGATGCTGGACAAGCTTGAGGAATGCATCCTGGTTATCGATCATGAGGTTAACAGATCGCGGTCCAAGTTTCTCGGCCAGAGCTATCAGGCGTGGTATACCGGATTGCGGAATCGGTACGCCATAGAGGATCTACACATGTGACGTCAGTGAAACGATTCCCTTCTCTTCGAGAATGATGAGTGCAAAGCAGGCGCTGGATAATGGAAGAAACCCAGAATTCCGTATCCCAAGACAGCCTTATGCTGAGCAGAACATCGTCACAAAAAAATGAAGAATAGAATATAACAAAAAAAAAGAAACATACACTAGCCTGCCTCCCCTTTCCCTGCTCCTCCAATACCAACTCCGCCAAATTCTCCGCTTCAATAATCGTACTAACAATGAAATTCGCAGTGCCTTCCTCTCCAACCTGCAGCTTAGACAGTTCCTTCGTCTTATGACTCTTGACGTGTGCGCGGAACCCCACCCCTAACTCTTTGCAGACGTTGAGCATGGCATTGCAGTTGCGCTTGATGATTGCTCGGTCTAGCACTACAGCTGGTGTGGATAGCTCATTCAGCGTTTTGCCGACGAACTGGTCGGCGAGCGACGAGGAAGAAGGGAGGGGGTAGCTTTGTAGAGTGGATAAGTTGGACATGGTGGGTTGTAATGAAATTTGTTGTCTAAGAGATTTGTCTGTTTTTTTTCTTTCTTTCGTGCCTTGAGATGTAGATGAGGATGTAGTGGAATGGGCGTATGAGAGTAGCAGGTTTGTTCTTCCAGGTATGCGGGGTCGACCGCCGGATGCTGAATATCTGGAAAGCAAAATTGCGGAATCGAATGGCTCTACAATGTATATCTAATTTCACGGTTCGGCCCTCTTGCTCTACTATCGTGGATTTCTTACCGTGGGGGCCTTACGTTAGAGCTCCCCGTCGGACAAACAAAGTGCGGTCAGCGCCTTCACGGCCGCGCTAACTCGTGAGGAGGATTTCCAAGGCCGCGGATCTTGGATAAGGAAATTGAGACAGAAGAAATCAGTGAAGCCTTGGATAATTCGAATTAGTCACGTTGAGGTAAGGAAATTGCGGTTCTGGTACGGTGGGAGTGACGGTGATGGCTTGATGAGTCTCGGATGGGTCTGAGACCTCTTGTTTGCGTTAGTGCGGGGATGCCCACTATCTACTAGATTGGGTAACAACAGAAGCTCTCAGGTACTTGAGAGCAAGAAATAAAGAACAATGCGTTTGTGAAAACCAAACCCAACTCAAGGTTGATGCACTAGAAGAAAGCTGACCTAATGACTTTGGAATACATGAACAAAACACGCCAAAACTCCTGGGTAGCACTCAAATCACAATCTTGCTCCACTCTCGTAACCTCATACACATGCTCATACCCCCAGCCCAAAACTGGTCTCTATGCGTTAGGTCCAGGCCATACACTGCTCAGCCTCCTCCTCCTTCCCGTCATTGCACTGCCGGGACTAACGCTCCTTGTGCCGACCGCATTTGTCGGTGCAAAACTATTCTCAAGGATGGCATCTTCGAGATCATCCTCCTCTTCAATCCGCGTCACCACATCCTGGGGCGGCTCCTCCTCAAATACAGCCTGTAAATCAGCGTGGGGGCTGAATTGTTTCCAGCTTTGCCAAAATCCAAAGGTAGTGCGTTTCGAAGGTCCAGGACCATTGACGTTAAGTGTGCGGATGGGTTTCCAGAGCGACCGGCGCTCATAATATGTGATAAAAAGAAGAATGGGGAAGTTCAAGGTTCGAATTGCCGTTATGTTAATCTTATGGAACCAGCGTGGTGAGAGGATGAACTTCAACGGAAGAAGTATTACAAAGGCGAGAAGGTTAAAGGGCGGGCGATAAGCAAAAAGGGAGTCTGACTTGACACCTTCGAAGGTCAGGACAGCGCGGCGAAACTGGATCTCAGCCGTCGCATCGGCTGCGATCTTAGAGAAGGTGTTTGACAAGATCGACACCAAGACAGTCAGGAACAGGGTGTTACCAAGAAATGCGTAGACGACCATGAGTGTAGGGCCGAGGATCTCATGAAAGCCAGGCGCTTCGTCAATTCCTGTACCGTCGAGACCGAACCAGATCCACAACATCCACTTGGAAATGGTAATGGAGTTCGGTGATTCTTCATACCCAACTTCGGGGTTGCTGATGCTCAGCCATTTGAGCGCCAAGAGGAAACCACCAAAACACCACACAGCAATTAGACTCAGTGCCGTGAATTCTTTGACCATGGCTCGTAGGGCGATAAAGAGCATATTATCCGGCATCAGATTGAACGCGATTCGTGGGAAGAGGATAGGTGAGGCTACGGTAAGAACATCGAGAGCTTGTCGTCCAGTCTCGTCTTGTCCTGTTATCCAGCCGTGGAACCGCATCCAAATGTAGACAATGAATATGGCAGAGAAAGTGACATCTAGAAAAGCCCACAGTTCCTGGGTATGGACTTCCCATCCATGTTCGAGACATGACGTCAGCTCGTCCAGCACCCAGCCAGCAGCATAGACCATGAAGATCAACTCGGGCCAGGTAAGGGAATGATCTTTCCTTGCCGACATGCACCAGCAGTACAGGGCCAATAGTATGAGGAACTGAACGACTTCGATCATGTTGCGCGTTCTTGGTACCATGAGCCGATACTGGTTCAGTACGGGTGCCTTTCTTGGGTCGTAAAGCGAGATGGGCTTGTACTTGTAGTGGTCTGGAATGATATCCATAAATGTAGTCGGTGTGTACACAATGCGTCCTCGATAGATTGCGTCGATGACTTTCTGGCTCGCAGAACCTGAGAGTAGCACTTTGCTCTCAGACACAATGGCAACTTCCAAAGCAGTGAGCTTGCCATCATTATCGCCTTGACCTTGGTAATCGGAGGCATGTCGTGGTGGGCACCGCTCCTCCGGGGCTCCTTGGAAGGGTTGGAATGGCGCCACTAAGATCTGCGCCAGCAGCAACAGGCCGGCTTTTCCCGTAGACTCTTCGTCGTGTCGCCGCAAGATTTTCATCGCAACCAATTCGCATAGATTGGCACGTGTAAGATCGACGGTCTGGTGATGTTGCTGGAACTGCTGCTCTCGCAAGAATTGCATGCGATTTACGAGCAAACAGTAAACAATGGATATGTCGTCCTCGTCATAAAGACGGTCGACAAGTGGTTTGACGATGAGGACATTCATACGTGGTTCTCGGAGTTGGTCCACTGTGTAAGGGTCCTCTATTACGGCCAGAACGAGTCTTCGTATTCTGTTCAACTGTGAGAAGTGGACTTCAGATTTCTATAGAGCGCTTCCACTCACCGATGAATATTGAAGTATGTCTGATGGCTCTTGGTGGAACTTGTACCGGGCGTTGGCGCAACTGTTGGTTGGCCTTGGCCATTGAAACATCCATCACTCCCGGCATAGTCTTCTTCAGGCAACAAGGTCTCTTGCTCTTCTCTGCTCTTTGCGAATCTCAATGCATCGCTCAGTGTGCGCTGCGTCTCCTGCTGAGGTCGCTTCAGGTACTTTCTGAATTCGATGTGCCGTGACGGTTGGCGCTTTGGAGATGGTCTGGATGTTGGTGAGAGCTCCCCATCTCCATTGCTCGACAGAACGGCAGTACTCTCGTTGCTGTCATCATTGCTGGTTGTAGCGTCGGGGTGGATTGATGCTCGTGGAAAAGTGCCGTATGCAGGACTACCGTTTTTATTCCAATCGGGGCTGGAAGTTGGGCCTGACATGGAAGGCTGCTGTCAGCCTCCTGTAATAGTAACAGAGACGTCGGTAGACGGCACGCAATTGAGCGGGTCGCGTCCAGAATTGATTGGACTTGCGTGTGACGAAGGTGGCTAATCCTGATTGGTCTCAAGATAGAGGATGCAGCATACGAAGGGGGTGGGGCAAGTATTGCGGTTTGTCAGACTCGTAACGCCCTAAGAACAGTGCACCTAGGAAAGAAATAGAACCCGGTCAATGGCAATGCCTATGTAGTCTTGGTGACGATTGAAGGTAATAGGCGGGTTGCCGATAAGGTAGCAAAAGAAAGCACGGGTTCACCGCAGCCCTTTGAATCGTGAGGCAATGTTTGAAGCTAAATCCCGCGCCGGCTAACCACATCGGGAGTAGGCCCGCCTCGTGATGCGCGACTTTCTTTCCAGAACCATCATCTTCTTGATAAGTAGTAGTTGTGTATCATTGTAATTGGTACGATGCCTTAGGCATGTGCCACAACGGACTCCTCTTTTGTGCGTAAAAGAAAACGTGGTTAATGGTAGCCACGTGAAAGTAGTGATTTTCGACACGTAGTGTTTCACCATAGATTTACGAAGCATCTAGGGTACAGCTTTGATAGAAGGTAAGAAAGATGCATTTGTGCATACGATGTGCCTTGGTCATGCAAAGGCTGGGGCGCGGCCATGACTGAGCGTCTTCTTCGTTACACAAATCAGATTGCTTGTAGAAGGTATTCGTCTTGATAGCAGATATATAACTAGCAAACGCTGTGGGTCGTCTTAAACGATAAAGCCTAGATTTACTTTTCGTGAAAACGAAAGGAGCCAAAGAAGACACCTAGATACAAAATGAAACGTAGTTTCCTGGTTATCGCTGCTTACACACCTACAATTTATAAAATGTGCCTATTAAAGAGCAGAAATCGCAAGCTCATTGAGATGGTGTAGTGAAAGTTTGATCAATCTCTTTAGGTAGCATCACTCACTAATGACACCATCCTAGCCTTGACTGCCTGCGACCTTTTGCACACATGACGCCTAGTTCTTATTCCGTAAGCCCATTTCACCTTCCCCGATTCACTTTGCTCTTGTTTGATGGGAAATATATCAACTGCGCGCAGTGCGTAAGCGGATTCGTATGAAACCCGGCACTGCCGTATCTAGCCCTGTATTTCCGACATGTTCATTGAAGAATGAGATGACGTATCTGTCAAAAGGTATCGTGATGACTGTTTCTGCCTAGGCAGGCGTTCACTCATAATGGACAAATGTCTTACCTAAATGGCCATCTTCCACCAGGTGCTCCACTTTTCTGTCTCTATCTCCCCAATCTATAAAGTCTCTTCCTCACTTTAGTTGCACAACTAACAAATAGGAGAAGCTTACAAAGATGGAGCCAAGGGGATTCCAGGACTACTATGCTACCCTAGGACTGCAGCTCGGTGCCTCAGCCGAGGCGATCAGATCTGCCTTTCATGCCTTGGCTATCAAGCATCATTCCGACGGGTCTGGAATTGGCGATTCAACTCTCTTTCGTGCTTCACGCGAAGCCTATAACAGACTAACTGATACTGAGTTCCGCAAGGAGTATGATAGGACCTACTGGCGTAAGAAGCTCCAGATTGACCCTCCCGCTCCGGGTGCTGACGAACAACCTTTTGGTAACACTCGTACCTATCAGTATGAAGCTGAAATGCGAGAGAGAGCTCGTAGAGCCAGTCCTCCGCCGAAGAAGCCCTACAAGAAGCCTGGTGATCCTGGATGGAAGTACCTGAATAGCGCCGCGTACCAGAAATGGCAACAGGTGTCAGCCGAGTACTATGCCCGGCATCCCGAGTGCGACCCTCCGTAAGTGGATTGAACGCGAAGTGACTTTGTTGAACGCTTTTAATAAATTCTCTTACAGTGCCGATGAGAGTAGGCCCCCAAGCCCTGGTCAAGGCGGGCTACAACACGGTCTTTTTGTCAGAATGTCGCACGAGTGTGTGCTTCGTCCTTGCAAATATAAAAGTGCTACATGGAGAGTGCAGCCCGGTGGTGCTGATCACTGTGTGTTCTGCATGGAAGCCCGCGTCGGCTGCAGCAGGTGCCCTGGATGCGAGGCTTTGGCATGCCAGAAATGTCTGAAGAAGATCGCTGAGATAGAGCAGAACTCATGCATGCTGAGCAACAAAGTTCCGTCCGCTGCATCGGGAGGTTAGAACGACGGCGCGCCGGGGTAAGAACGGGGATCGTCTGTGATGCGGAATCTCCGATGGACAAGGGGAGGAATTGTATGGGTTGAATATGCGAGAACATGCGAGTATTTTTTGTGATTAGAGAGATTTGGTCGCCTTGGTGCGATGCTCCTATGTACCGATATGGATAGTACTGGAGGTTGCCCGGGTTAGGATATGCTCGTGCAATGACTACATACATATTCATGGGCAGTGCTTAAGCAAACATTACTATGTAAATACACTATCCAATCAGAGCTGTTCAGGTAACCAAGGCTTGAATCAGTTTTTTTGTCAGTTTTGAGTGCTTATGTGAGCCGTATACACTGATGTAGAAGCTACTAATCTTGATGACGACTGATTGCTTAGCCTACCGGTAGCCGATGCCTTGTCATTCCAAACGAACTCTGTCCTACCTTAGTGCTGATCCCGTCACCAGGGGTTGCGTGAAATATGATAGCTCGATAAATTGGGAGAAAAGGAAAGGACATGAGAGGTTAAAATGGTAGGCCGGAGAGAAATGGTACTCTCGGTACCAATGAAGCCACTTGCGTGCTTACTATTATGATGTTATAGCAGATGCCGACGCGAGTATCTGAAAGACGACACCGATTTTGGCAGTCAATGGTTTCAAAGGTAAACGGCGTTGACTTGTGTGGTATAGAAGGACAGGGCATGACAGGTGCCGCTAGTGCAGCTGTTACGTCATGGCTTGGCGTGTCTGGTGTGGATTTGTTTCCCATGGAAGGAATGATTTCTCAACACCATGACTGCAGTAGACGACCAGAAAACACATCATCCCGACATGCCAGCCATTGCTGCGATTTGAACTCTGATACATGTCTATGCCGTACTCCGAATCAGCGATGCGAAACCACGACAGCGAAACGGAATACAGATGACATGTGAGCAACCCATACACATATGGGTGTCTTGACATGGCTATACCTTGGAATCCAGCAAACGGCATCAAATCTTTACTTATGTCTCTGGCATCACGGACGTCATCTTCATTGCTGCAATGTCGATTACTCGCATGACACTACTGGTAACTCGCATGTTGTTGGATTCTCGCTTCATCATGTCGACCAGCCCGTCGTCGGTGCAGCCGGACTGGCTCCTTGATCTGAACCGACGTCTACACTGAGCATGGAGATGGCTTGTATCCACTGCCTCACAATCTGCTCAGGCAGACCATGGCAACCGGCTCAGTATTCGCACAATGGTCTGCTATATGGAGACCAAAGCTATTAATTCCTCAGGCTTCCAGATTCGAAACAGGCACCAAGCCGGCGGGGCCTTACAAGGGGCCGCACCCCGCGTACAAAGAAGGCGCGCACGGCCCCGGAGCCACTCGCCATCCGAAGCGTAGCGTGTGTCCCACACTTTGGAAACGTGCAGGCGCGCCGCCCACTTTTTGACGCGCAATCCGGCCAAGCCTACCGTCAGCCCGCATGTCGACTTGAAGCACACCAGCCTGCCCAGCTCCATTTATAGCACAGTCCACCTTGGCTGATCTCAATCAGGGCTCATCCTGGCGCGCCAAACGGCTTGTGAGGCGGCACTTAACATCAGACTCGCATCCCGTGTCAAGTGTATTGCTCCAGCTGCTCCTCCGAGCCATCGAGGCTAACCCTTTCTGCCCATAGGCTTCTAGTTAGCAATTAGCGCCATCTTACCTCATCCACTCGTCTTCTGTCCTGCTTCCCTTCTGTGTTTGCTGGCCATTCACTGTACATACCTTGTTTATCGTCTCACCAATTCACTTCCGCTCTTTTCAACATTGCAAGTCCACATTCAACATGGACCTCTACCGAGCTACCTTTGCGGGTTCCGTATTGCTGAATCTCTTTGCATTCTACCAAACCCACCGCTCCCGCAAAGCAACCACCGAGGTGGCCGTCTCGGACAAGAAAGATGGACTGGAATCCCACGAGCCTGATATGGACGGCTTGAGCAAGCTGAAGAAGCGTTTCTTCCCAATCTATTTGCTCGTTAACGCTGCAGATTGGCTCCAGGGACCCTACATCTATCCCATCTACAAAGGTACATGCATGTGAATGAATAACTCATACCCCTTGCGTACTCACACGTCTTTGCAGATGAGAAGGGACTCCCCGAAGAAACAGTCGCCTTCCTCTTCCTCACAGGCTTCATCTCCGCCGGCATCTCCGCATCTTTTGTAGGCGGACTCGCAGACCGTTATGGCCGAAAGACGGCCTGTCTTGGATACTGCGCCATCTACTCCCTCTCGTGTGCTACGCTCCTTACCAACAACATCTACGTTCTATTCTTCGGTCGTATACTCGGCGGTCTCTGCGGAACGATCCTCTGGAGCGTCTTCGAGAGCTGGCTCGTCGCCGAGTTCAACCAACTTATGCTGCAAGATGGTGAGCCTCACTTGAGCGCCATCTTCAGCACCATGACCACTTCAAACACTCTGGTTGCCATTGCCTCTGGCATCTTCGCTGAATGGGCAGTCACCAAAACGGGAACGGCCAAGACACCCTTCATGGCTTCCATTGCATGCTTGGCCCTGTCCTTCCTGGCCATCTCGTCGTACTGGGGTGAGAACTATGGATCCAGCAGCCGAAGGGCGTCTGAGACCGAAGGTCTTCTTCAGCAAGAAGAGGCGGCGCCGGCGCCTTCCTCCACCTCTGCTCTACGCACAATTCTACGTGATCGCAACATTATGATTCTCGCGCTGGTATCGGGTTTCTTTGAAGGATCACTTTTCCTATTCATCTTTTTCAAATTCCCTGCATTGAAGCTCAGCCACCAACTATCCGGCTCGACAGACGGTAAGCAACTTTCCAACGCCACTTTCTCTGAATATATGTGCCTGACATGAAGCAGAACTGCCTTTCGGTCTCATTTTCGCTATCCTCATGTGCTCCATGATGCTCGGCTCTCTCCTTCACAAACATGTCTCCACATCGGCGAACCCAGTACCCGCGCAGAAGATGCTCATTGGCATTCTCGCCGTTTCTTCTGTCTGTTTCTTTATCCCCGGGCACTTCCGCGACGAACGCCTCACACTTTGGTGCTTCTGCATTTTTGAGCTCTGCTGCGGAATCTACTACCCGGCCATGGGCTCACTCAAGAGCAAGCTTATTGAAGATGGTTCACGAGCCAGCATCTACGGTATTCTTCGCATTCCACTCAACGTCTTTGTCGTGCTAGCGCTCAGCACCACCAAGGAAGGTATGCAATGTCCTCACAGTCGTCCAAGATCAACACAAGCTAATGCATGCATATAGGTGAGGCGCATCGCGACACAGTATTCACTACATGCAGTGTGCTCCTTATTGTGGCTGCCGTCTTTGTCCACAAGACGCTGGCCTGATTTTTTTTTTCGTTATGCTCGTGAAACTCTAGACATCAGATGTGCACAATGCGCTCATAGGGGATGGCGCACATACTCTGGATCATTAGAACTTTGGTAATATGTCAGCTCTATAGTATAGCGCCGAGGCTATGCAAAGACTATTTTGTTGTTGTTATTACTAAGTATGGTTGCTTTCTGTAAATAGCACCGTATATGCACATCGCCATGTAGAATCCCCACTTGTTTTGTTTTTCTTTGGTCATCGCAATCGGTTGAGTACGTATGCACATGAAGATAGACAGGTAGATCATATGATATCATTGTCAGCTCTCACATTGCGTACCCTACACGACTTGGAACCAGACTTGTATGCGCAATCTTGAGGTCTGTGCGACAGGGCCTCTTTGCGGCCCCCCAGTGTGAAAGCATGTTCAGGGAGGTCGACTGCCCCCCAGCTAAGGGTGAAACGACGCTGGTGGCGGCTGATGGCCAAGAGACCCACCCTTGGTACACGACTTGCCTACCACCATCGCAATCGCAAAACGTCTCCCGCGGCTAGTCGAGCCGCCGTCACATTAGTTTGCGCGCGAAGCCAACGTCGGTGCCCCAGGATCCAATGGTGCAGGTGTAGCCGCATGTAGCTGTTACTCCGCAGTCAGCTCGTATGTCATGGATGGTCAGTCATGGTCAGCAGGGGCGCGCCTAATGCTGTCGTCTCGCTCCATCACCAGCACATGTGTCCATCGTCCGACTAATAAGAAAACCGGGGGATCCAAAGGGGACAGGCTGACCAATTATCTTTTTTTTTGATATTGAAGGTCAGTGCTTGGCGAGTCCAATGTACGCGTAACACTCGTTGCCAGCTTTGGGTCCCGCTGTTGGGTGTTTCGGCGGCAATGCTTGGCACGTGTCCCATACACGGCGATCCCATGTCAGGGAATCCAGACAGATTGAGAGGAGGGCCCTTGTTTGACCATGATAACATCTGCATGCGAGGCGGGCTCTCGGGCCATTTTTGGCTCTAACCTTCCCTTTTTTTGTCTCTCTTTCCTTCATCGTCTCTTTGTCTTTTTTTGTTTTCTTTCTTTTCACCTACATCTACATACTTACACTTCCTCACCCTTCTTCGCTCTTTCCCGTCACTACCTCACCGACGCTTGACGCGAATAGAAACCTCCACCGATTCAACTCGGAGGTTTATGTACATATCACGATTGTTCTTTATCTCTCTCATCTAGATATTTGGACATCGTTCTTTTTTTTTGTACAACCGCCACAATGTTTAGGTCTTTCGGAGGTATGTTACATGTTGCTTTGCGATGCTTTTCCCAAGTCCCCCCTCCTTCTAACATTGACTCTAGCACGTATATTTGCGGGCATATTCGTCGTCGTCTTCCTCATTCTTATTTTCCACAATGAAGAATCCGCTGGCACGGCTCTCCTTCCTTACCTGCCTGTCCTGCCATCAACAGGCTCATCGCAATCCTCCTCACTACTCCGAGCATGGATAAAAGACCGATCCGCTCTCTCCGAGAAATCGTGGAAAGCAAGTCTCGACCAGCGAGAGCAAATGGCAAAATCCCACCCGGATAACCCAAGGATCCCCTTCTTCCCAATGGACTTTTTGAAATACCCATTCACCATCTGGGACTTTTTCCCCCCAACCTGGACCTGCCCCCACGACATCCAGCGCGTAGGCCGCATGGGCGACGGCGGAAAATGGGTCTGCGGCATGAGCGTCTACGAAGGACTTCCCGCAGTCAAAGCCTCCGCATCTGAAGAGTCGTCCCTCTCCAACGCCCAAGACGGCCTCGTAATGTACAGTTTCGGCATCAACGGCGAATCCTCATTCGAAGCAGAAATGCTCGAGCGCGTGCCCAGCGCCCGCATCTGGGGCTACGACTTCTCCGTCGACGCCTGGGGCCCGCAGATTGCACCGAAACACCGTCACCGCACTTTTTTCAAGAAGGTCGGACTCGGAAAGGAAGACGCACATGATGCTAGTCCCCCATTCTGGACTCTTCCCTCCCTCATGAAGCAGAACAACCACACCTACATTGACATTTTGAAAATCGATGTCGAGGGTAGTGAGTACGATGCGCTAGATACCATGATGGACGCTTTCGACAATGTGCAATCCGCATCTGGAAAGTCGGTGCTGCCAATTGGCCAGGTCATGATTGAATTGCACTTGGGAGATGGTGTTTCCACCAACAACCAGGTCGGTGGTGGCAGCGTCGATTTCGGCCGCTTCCGCAGCTGGTGGGAGCGTCTGGAGCGCATGGGCATGCGCCCCGTGTGGATGGAAATCAATCTTTTTGCCGTTACGCTCGGCAAGACCAAGTCGAATCCTAGGTGTACAGAATATGTTTGGGTCAATGCGAGGGATCAGAGGAATGTACTTTGGAATGTATAGATTTATGGTTTGAACTCCCGCCTCCCTCTGTTTTGGGGCTTTTGAAAGTATTAGAGCTGGAGGTGCCAAATTTGGGCGTTTTTTTCCTTTTCTTGTTCAATGGTTATGTATGGCATATGGCTACTGTTGCTATAAGTTAGACGGATATCTACACGTGTTCGTAATAGAACACTTGTTCCCTCCACCTCTTTCTCTCTCTTTGACCCTTAAATCATGATATAGTCCACTTTATGCTCCATCAGCCACCGCTGTCAACATCATCCCACAACACCTACACAATACATGTATAGCAAATCCAACTTTCAACAAACACCAAACCATCTCATCTACACTCGCTCCCTCTTCCCATTCCACCACATTCCCACCCTCCACCTTCTCTCCCTCCTCCCCACGTTCCAACCGCGGCCCCCGAAACCCCGGCGAAACACACCTCGTCGCCAACCCGCTTTCGGCCCGAACACCACCCTCCCCCACTTTTTGCCCTTCTCTCCCTTACAACCAATCCCTCCCAGCACCAGGCTGAAATAAAATACAACGCAGAGTATTACCGGCACGTCCATGTCACCCTTGTCCAATACCCGTTCTCCCCAAACAAACGATGATATTTCTATCTGCCGTTCCCAACATCATCAACGTGCAACGTGCCGTTTGTACACTTTATCTGGCGGTTACGGCAACGGGGGCTGGAGATGAAAATAAACAGGGGGGGGGGGGGAGGATATGGAGACTCTTATCTATTTTTCCTTGATGTACTATGCTTAGGGATGCAAGTACTTGGTCGTGTGCGGGTGAGCTGAATGGGGAAGGCAGAGTGGAGAGCGAGAGGAAGAAAAGCGGGGGTGTGGATGTGCGTGGGGAACGGGGTTGGACTGGTTGGTTTAGTTACTAGCTATTATTATTTTAAAATTCTCCGTTGCCAATCACCTTATGGGGCGGCGCTTTGCTGCTTTTGGGGCGCTAGGGGGCTAGATAGAGATTGAAGAGGGTGTGGGGATGGTGGTAGTTGGGGAGGCTGCTTGCGAACGCTTTTGGGGGGAAAACTGGGATTCACTAGTATGCTTTTGTGAAAAGACTTGGGTTGGTTTGCTGGTGATGAGATTCATGGGGCGTAAACTTGGTGGCGTAGTGCTCGTCCAATCAATGTGGTGAGGTTGTATGGGGGCTTCCCCGGATTTCCAAATGTCATCCGTGGGTTCCGGGGTTTACGTAATGAAGCGTGAGGTGCCTGAGGCTCGTCTGGAGTTGTGTTCAAGAGTCTTGGTTGTTTTGGGGGAGTTTTTTTCTCTTATTATTGGGATGTGCAGATTGACGTTGTTCCAATTGAGATTCAGCTACGCGAATTGTGTATAACGTTCGTGACTTCATGTGCGCTCAGAAATGTTGGCTTTGGGTTCTGGCTCCATATTCTAATACGCGAATAGCAAAGATTGGGTAGTTGTGTAATTCTCTATCGATGCTCAGCTCTGAGTCAAAAATCGCGGCTATCCAAGATGATGGTAACCACCAGTCACTGACGCTTCTGGCGGAAACTTCATTCACCATTTATCACATCTAGCGCATAATCACTTTCCAGTCCCCAGTCCACTCCCAAAAATCTTATCAATCCTCGTCGCTCTCTCCCACACAACCTCCGCTCCACCATCTTCACCCCTCTTCTTGAAATAAAGTATCCTATGCTGAGGAATAAACTCTTCGTCCGTCTGCTCCGTCTTCCACCTCTCAAGTCCTGTCTCCTTCGCACCAAGAAACCGGTCTTCATATCCGATAATGTAGTCACTGGGATCAAGACTTGGGTCCCAGCGTAATCGATTCAGAACATCGGAGGCGGGACGAAGTTTTGAACTCGATAAGGGCGTCGCGGTGGGCTTCGGGCGTTGTGGGATTGCACGCTGCGGCTTGGCTTCATCAGCCTCCTCGAGTTCTTCTTCGAGCTCTTGTTCGTCTTCTGAATCAGAGTCCATATCCATGACGTAGTGTCCCCATTCTCGTTCATCTAGCTGTAGAGTCTTGACATCACGCCTCTTGACTAGCGACGCATCAATCCAGGAGGTATTTGAGTCGTAATTCTTCTCATCAGTTCGGAGCTGGGTGAGGAAGCGATCAAGCACTTTTTCTAATGCTCTCTTGGCCTCTTGTTTATCTTCAGGACCTCCAGTCAAGTTGCCTTCTGCTGCTTTCGATAAGCCAATCAGGTAACATCCCTGAAAGTCGTTGCTGTCGGTCAAATTATTGGGAGTATCGTCTGTGAATAGAGCTGGCCAGACCCGCACTTCTGATCCCGGAAGTGCTTTGTGGATGTCTGCATAGTCAGTTAGAGTGTATACGTATTACTTCAGGTCTCGGGGGAATTACCAACGACGATGGATATGCAACGTGACTCAACCCAACCAACCAAACTCTTGCCTTTTGCAAGCATACGGCCCCAGAACTGGATGTCAATCTTGATAAAATCATTGTAAGCGTTCAGGAACTCAACAACTCTAGAAGGAAGACGAGGTTCTGAGGCCAGATCCGATGGTGTGCTGAAGAATTTTTGCCAGGTCATACCAGGCTCACTTAACCTCATATCGGCAGCCTTGAACTCCTTGATCAACATCTGCAAACCCGGAACCGTAGATTTGTTTGCGAAATTGGAGTTGGGTGAGTGGAAGCTAAGGATAACCATGGGCTCCCTTGCACTGCGGTTGTATCGCGGCTTCTTCTTGTGAAAGAACGCATCATACACCATATCATTCGCCCAGTCAAAGTTTGCGTAGTGCTGAAAAAAGCTCACGACTATGTCTGCAACACTTATTGAGCCAGCGTCATGTGCTACGCTCTTGCAAACCCAGGAGAGCATGAGGGTGATGTGCATTCCGCCCAGGTAACCAAACTTTGCAGCGTAGAGACCGCGCTGCACAGCCCACAGCTTGATCAATCGGTAAGCCTGGCGGAATATTGATCGCGATGGAATTGTGCGCTGGAGGTATAGTAGGTCGCGGTACGGTTTCAACTTGCGAAGCGAGAGCATCGAGAGGTTGAGAATGGGGTCGGATGCTGGGATTTCTGCAAATTCGGACCATCTATAGGAAACATGTCAGTACTGTTATTAGGAGTAATCAGATATAGGCACTCACCTTTCGACCACTTGCGCTGCAGGGCAATACTGCAAGTCCATCAATATGCCATTGACAGAAAGTTCAAGCATAGTACCAGTAGTAGCTTCAACCTTTCTCAAGATGCGCACTTGAGGGTTTCCAGCCTTGACGAGACGTTGTCGAGCAAGTTTGAAGAATGTCTTCGAGCTGATGGAACCAATGCAAAGACAGTCAATGTCTGAACCGGATGTCCAAACACCCAAAGCATACGAGCCGACTGGTACTATGACTAGCGGGATACCAGATTGCCCAGTCTCTGTATCGTTATTTGTGTCCAAGACTATTCGTTGGAGAAGCGCAAATGCTTCTTGTCGCTGTGCCGTTTGCTCCTCGTTGGGAATCATACCATGGGTTTCAAGTGCTGAAGACATATCAGAAGACTCCGCCAAGGTCGCGATCGCGCGCTTCAATTGGACTGAGGGTTGATTGACGGAATCAGTATCCCTTGTACTATCCATCGTTCCACCATGTCCGACCTTTAGTCTTGCTCTTACTCCGTAGTGATCACTAGCGACTATCTGTACACCATTGATAGTCTCAGGCTGACCAAATTGATTGAACCGAGTCACATGAAGAGTATTGTTTGGGCGGACCAGTATCCTGTCGTAGCGCTGTGGGCGATCGTGCGAAGTCGTGGTAGTTCCCGCAGCAAGTCTGTTGTTTTGTGGATCAAACGTCGCGGATTCTTCGCCTTCGTATAGATCTCCCATATCGGCAATGCTTGTCTGGTCCGTTCCTTCAATTCTGGCAACGGCCCAGGCGTCGAACAAACCAGCATCGCTAATTGAGGTCTCTATAGAAGAGAGAGTGTTCGCGGTCTCTTCGGTGATCGCCTTGTTCTTGCAAGCAGTTTCAATGGTGTAACTTGAGGTGACAATATTAAAGTCGCCGGCAATGATCCATGGCTCATTCTCATAGTGTTGCTCTAGATGGCTGATGAGGGTTTTCATCTGAGCTCGTTTAGTTGCAGTCGAGCCATCAGTAAGGCCAGCGGTCAAGTGGACACTGGCGACTACCAGACCCTCCGAGCCTGACGAATCAGATGTGGCCAGCCCTCGAAACTGTGCAACAATGGCGCCCTTGTGCTTTCGATAGAATGGTACTGACTTCCAAGAAAATGGATAACGGCTCAGAACAACAATGTTTCGCAAACTGGGTAGTGGCCCAATGTCGGGTTGTTCGGGTGGTCCATGGGAAACGAACGGGTATCTTCGCTGAATCTCGCTGTCGCCCAGCATATAGGATAGGAAGTCGTCCGACATCTCTTGTAGTACCAGAATATCCGCCATTGCGGGGTCCGAGAGGATGTTAACGACGAGCAAAGAATCGCGATCATGTGTGGGAGGGTACTCGCTATCGATTAATACATTATAGCTCGCGACTGTGATTGTCTCCGCTTCGACTTTTTCGCGCTCCTCAGCAGTGTAAATTGACCATTTGTATTCATCTTCATCGAAGTAGTACGTCGACCCTGGCTGCACTCCTTGGCTGGGCTCTTGCTGGACTATTTCATCTCGAGTGTCCTCAGACTGGAGTGCGGTTACATTCGAAGGAAGGCTTCGTATCCAGTAATTAGGGCTGTCGGGTCTTGGGACGGCATCAGAGGAGCAAATGTCGATGGTAGCGAAAAGGCGCATGCAATCTGTCGAATCAGAACCACTCGTTCGTTCACGTACTAAGATAGCAAGTGATCCAACGCTAAATCGTAGGCGCGGTATGAGTTTTGCTTTGTCCAAGAGATATTCCCGTGCGAAAACTGTGTTGTCCTCAGATTGGCCAAGAGTGAGATGTAAGGTAGATCGAGGAGGCTGTTGTCCTATAGCTTCCAGCACTAATTTCCGTAGTGATTCGAGCGTCGCATTTACATCGCCATTGTCGTGCCTGGCACTGTCTTCGCTAAGGAAGATTGTGCACCTGTTCTTTTGAGTAAAATACCCGGCTTGGGCTAGTTCCACATTAATTGGGTTGTTTTGATCCAGGTGCGTTGCAAGATAGTCTTGGATTTGTTTCTGTGCCCGTGGAAGCTGCTCAGGTGCTACGAATGGGTATACGAGATTGACGTGTGCTGGCCATCTTCCAAAAGCCTTGTCGTAGAGCTCTCGCAACTGATCCACATAGCCGCATTGTGACCTGGGTGGTAAAATGCAAAGAGCTGTATCATACGATGCTGTTGAAATACGTGCGGGTGCTGTAGATTCCTCCGCAGACGCCATTGTTCAAAACGCCACAATTTTGGTGAAAAGCAATGCTAAATAGAAAGAAATAGCGGATGGGTATCGTGTAAACGTGAAACGAGAAAGTGGTGGCGATGTTAAATGCCAACGAGCATAGAATGATACTTATGTTGTACCAGAATACATGTCCACTCATGCGAATCCACTTAGAGCATAAACGAGATGTCCACAATAGGCAATAAGTATGACTGTAGCTGTACTTGGCGCTCGTGCATCAGTGAGATATAATGAGTCATCTACGCTAACCGAAACGGGGGCATGCGCCACAATTATGGATCGAGCGTGTCTCAAATGCTTGCAGCGCAAGAGGCGAAGTCATAGCAGGGCCGATTATACTCTCATGAGAAAAGTAACAACAGCAGTTGGTGTATGTAGACTAGGCAAGAGGCTAGTGGGGTGATTACATCATACTACTACTAGGGCGCAGCCCACAACAGGCGAACGCCCTTCATCGAACAGCGTCATGACGTTTTCCACACAGCTATGGCGAGACTATCAGATCTACCAAGTGAACTTCTCTTCGAGATTATTGACCTCGTGGTTACCTCTATCCACTGGCCGGAGGAGAGCAAACGCTACCGGCCAGTAGACGATACAGGCCTATTCCCTAGAAACATATATTGCGTCCCTAAGCTGAAACTCGACGGACGACACCCTGCACTGAATCTATTACTCACGAGTCGGAAGCTTTACTTGGAGACGCACACCTACCTCTCAAATAAGCCACAGACCCTCGACCTCGATGTTGCAATCATTGACGACCATTGGATTTGGCCAACGTGGCGAAATCTGCCCGTGCGAAAAGACGGCGCCTTTGACCGAATCGACGTCCATTTCATTCTTTGCTGCACTGAACACGAGCGGTCACTACAACATGAGTGGAATACGGACTCCGTAGCAGGTTCTTGCAAGAGCACGGATAAGGACTGTCGGCCAGCTACAAGGTACTTGAACTGGCGGGCATTGAATCCACTCAACAACCTCGTTAGTAGCGAGAACATCGACGCTTCTGTCGTCAACACGCTCTCCGACTTCATGGAACAGCCCTTTTCAGGCGAACCAACAGGACGTCCGTTCATCTTCAAGACCAAAACGCTAGCGTTCCATATCGATACGAGTGTCTACAGAGACGGGAACAGACTCCTAAGTAAATCAGAAGTGCCGGTGAGAGCAATTCATCAACTCGCCCATCTCTACTTCAAACAACTTTACCCCGCCAATGTCGAGAGAGCAAAATATTTCCTGAACGATGTGCAGGAGTATGTCCAAATCTGGTTTCAACAATGGAAAGAGAATGAACAGGTTTCGCCGAGAGTTGAAAAAGTCTTATTCTGCATTGATGGGGCGACTGTGCGAGAGCTAGATCCGGCTCAATATGCACAAGGAGTTAGCAAAGACTGAAACACGAGTACTTCATTGAGTGGAAGCACTAAGCTCTTGTCTATTCAATCTTTCTTCCGTATACTCTTGTACAATACACAAAACAAAACAAAAACGACCGCACCACAAAACAAATTCCACATTTTCCCTTAGCATCCCTTGAACTCTAAGACATCTCGTCTATCTCACACTCCACCCCAAACTGACTCCCATATACCCCTTCACCCATCCACAATACTCTTCATAAACCTCTCCTCCGACTCCTTCGGCATTGACGCAGTAACCCAATACCCCCCTTTCGCATCCTTCCCGACCAGATTCGTCATGTGCGCCAAAGACACCCAATCACTCTGGCGCCTAAATATCCCATTAGTATGGTAATACGTCGGCCTCCCCCTCCTTCCTCTTCCATTGCTCTCCTCGCTCCCACCACGCACAAGAGCCGCCGAAAAGTCCGTTTCGAAAAACCTCGCTTTATTCCAGTTACTCATGATGATTGTCTTGGGAATCATCGTCGTACCCGGTGGGAGTATGTGGTCGTAGCGACCGAGCCGCTGGTCGCGATGCGTTTTTTCGAGCGCCTCGCGGTTGCCCTTTTCGACGATTTCCTTGCGGAGTTTGGCGGCGACGTGGCCGAGGGGGAGGCCGAGAAAGTCTTTTAGTGTAAAGGGGGTGAAGATACCGGCCGTGGCGTTTCCGATGTATGCGGTGTTTTTGGGGATTAGGACTTTGTATTTTTCCGTCGCTTCGCTTAGTACATCGCGCATTTCGAGGACGTTGAGGACCAGGATTGGACGGGTGGGAGGGTGCTTTGGGAGGTCGAGGTCGGAGGTTACGAGGTGCCGGATTAGCCAGGAGGTGATGATGTCGCCGTCGGAGAGGAACGGTGTGGTTTTGGGAGGAGCAGTGGTGTTGTAGGTTACTTGAGAAGGGTCGAGTGAGGCGAGGTCGCTCATTGCTTCATTGCGTAGTCGGGCCATGGAGGGTGCTGGTATGTACATTTTGCGATCGCATTGTGGCTTGGGGGTCTGGAATAGGCGCCAGTGAAGGACAGCAAGGATGAGTTTGAAGTTGGGTAACTTGGGTAGCCTCGATATCCAGTCCTTGAGACTTGATGCTGTCGCCCATACCGAATGTTGTTTCTTTTCTTCATCTTCCTCATTTTGTAGCGTGCCAAGCTCTTCTAAATAGTCAACATCGTAGTCCCAGAGTTCTGGTACGTCTTCATCCCTTCCTTCTAGGACCGCGATCCATGCATCCAACAGTGTATGGAGTCCCAACGCATCCATTAGTGTATGTAGCCACGTTATTGTAACCAATGTCGCATCTTGAAAATTGGCAATGTCCAGCCCTAACTGTGCCTTGTCGCTGTGAGTCCAATATTCAAGCACTTTTGGACCGCCCTCCCGTGGCGTAAGCTCAGTCGTCACAGGTAAGGTTTCAAATGATTGTATACAATCATTGTCTTCGACATTGGGCAACCTGCGCGACACGGGATGTTCTTGCAATTTCATATCGTACGTCTTTTGAGTGTAATCAATTGGTGGACGATCCTTGGTGTACTGGGCCGGAATATGATTCTCAAGTCGTCCACCGTTGTTGTTCCAACGTATTCGTGCTCCCACTTTTTTCCAACGGGGCTTCTCAAGCAATTTCCAAAGTGCATCAGCGAGCTTTTGGGCATCGAGAACATCGTCGAAGCGCATAGTGAGCTCCACCGCAATGTTTCTATGTTCACTTCTATCATCCTGGCTATTCAGCGGTATGACTGTATCCGTTGGTATGCGCTTTGGAGCGGGTCGTTGTCCAAAGGCGTAGTTGAGAAGGAATGACATTGCAATATTTCCGAGAATTTCCGAGTATGGGAGAATGATACTGGTGTATAGTCGAAGAATCTCATCGATTCGAAGTAATGTGTTATTAGGATTTGTCGTCTAATTCTTGTCCGGACTACGCCCTTTTACAAAGAAAACAGAAAGCGAGAAGAGCGAACAAGTAGCACAAAAAAGGATTATTTAATATCTTATTGTTCAAACTTTACGCACGAATCGCGTGTCTGCTTACGTGTGGCAGAGAGAGATTCGTGGTCAGACTTTCCGGTTGCTTCCGAGGTGCCTGAGACCCATGAAGTCGTCTCCGAAACCCTTGTCCTGAGTCACAATAGAAACAGTTGTGAGGTTCAATCGATGAAAACTCATCCATAATTCTAATTGTGGAAGAGAGGAGTATTCACTTCCGGTTACTCCTTTGTCGTATTTCCGGCGCTCATCGATCTTAGTATTTAGTCTAGCATCCGTGCGGCATCTGGGGAAGTTGGGTCTGTGCCACGGGGCAATTTTCATCCAACCATCCGGATCCACCAAGAAGGCCTTGGTACATATTTTGCAACGTGGAACATCTAGTGCAAGAACCGGCGCACCAAAAATCTACCGGATTCAGGGTAAGAGGGATTTTTACCAATTCTGAAAGAGTAGCAAAAGGCATCTTCTGACTGAACTTCTCCCTCACTGCCCAGCTGGCATTCACCAAACGCCAATACCAATCATCAATCATAACTCATTATCATTAATCATTAGCATCAAACGTCTATCAATTCCCCGGGCCCGTGAAATTCCCTATGAAAACAACCAAGATGGCACAATAAGCCGCAGATGCCGCAAACAGCTCGTGTCTCGCCGCCTTCGTCAGCAAACTCATCGCAGCACTGAACAGCAACGTAAAAACCATCAAAACACCAACTGCATTGAAAGTATCCCTCTTGTTTATATCCACAGCAGCAGTAGCGTTCTTGTCAGTAGGGCTGGGTTCAGCATGTGTAGCAGTACTAGTGAGCTGGTACATGGTGACTACAGGGACGACGAGGAGACAGAAGATAACCACAGTAATGAGTACGTTGACGAGTTTGTCGATGCGAGAGCTGCTGTAGAAGGAGACGTAGGGGTTTGTTGTTTTTTCTTGGGCCTCTGGTGTGCGGAAGTATTTCTAAGCAGCAGCAGTCAGCATCGTGTGACGGGGTTTTGCCACAAGAGGGTGAATGCTTACCTGGAGTGGCAAGGACTCGGTTCGGAAGACTTTTTGTAGGAGGCGGTCGATTTGGCCAATTACTGTCTCTACGCCACCATCAAAGGTAGCCCATTCGCGGCCGTTGTGCAGTGAGACAATGTCTTCCTTGGTGCGGATGGAGTCCATTTCAGCGTCCATGAGTGGCTTTTGGTTGTGGCAGTAGCGCCGGACGCTGCGGTAGTTGCGGTCTGAAGGTCTTTGGAATGACTCCAGTGTTCTTGCCTTGATGAGGACCTCGTCTGAAGATGGTTGTCAGTCTTGACATCCAACTCCAATTTGTAAAGTTCGATACTCACCATACTCCAATAGCTTCGACTGGATCTCACGAAGTATAACTCGGCGGGTACGTGGCTCCCCTTCTCCATCAGGCTGTTGAACATCATAGTCTCTTGACTTCAAACGGTCGGCATCTTCGTCATGATCTTCCCAATCAATTTCGTCCAACTCCTTCTCTAGACAAGTGATTTGGTCTTGCAGGTCAAGTAGGACGCGTGAGTGTAAGTAGCTGAAAGAGCGGTACAATGAGAAATTTGGTTCGCTCGCTTGGAATGCAGCAAGTCTGGGAAATCCGTTGGGGGTTTCCTCCACTGCCAATTGTGAGAAATGAGCGACCTAAGGAGAGGGCAATGCATACACTTGCGCGTTCTATTTTCGGTCACATATTCTGGTTCAGGTGCCGAACGGAAAGGCACCGTTATCCGTTGGAGCAATTTGGGGCGCTTTTCCTTCCCTTCTATCCGAACATTAGTTTATTTGGTTTCCACGAAGCGCGCATGGCGTCTCGATGTACTTGGTCCAGAGTCTCCGAGCCATTATGCACATGGGTGCTGACGGCAAGGCGTTTTCACATGCGATGGCTACATGCGATAGCGACATGACGAGACGGGGCGTTGAGCCAAGACCGGCAGGCAGACTTTGGGGGCCAAATGGGCGGGTGGGAACACCTACGAGGCTGTGCACTCTCAATATCAATCGAATCTGTCCGCACGGACGGATGGATCGTGGAGTGGGTGTCGTCGGCGGTTTCAACAAACTCCTCAGCTAGAGTTGCATCTGTGTTGGTCGGGGATGCTGGGGATCCGGGGGCCTTTTCGATGTAGGTGTCTCCCGTCATGGTTCGAGGAGGGGTCATTATGGGCCTGAAAGGGAGCGCAGCTCTTCACGTCACCGAGGATGCAATAGGAGAGAGGATGAAAAGTTTTGCACAGGTTCAAGAAATGGTCAGACAGACATTAAGAACAAAGTGTGGCTCGTAAAAGTGTGGCGGAATAGAAATTGCATAGCCATCAGACATGACTTGGGACGGGGATTGTTGTCCCCCTCAATAAAGCTCAGCCCCCGAACGCCCCTAACGCCTCATGCGCGATTGGTTACTCCCGCCTTGATTTCAGCTGCCTGGCAGCTACCGGTGAGCTGAGCCACATGGCAAGGCGAGGTGACAACGCTTAGTTACCAGGCTTCAGTTCCTTCTCGCGAGTCCATCCAGATTCGACCCTCATGTTGTAGACATCCTTGAGCTTGTACTCGACATAGCCCGCAGGATTGGATCTGCGGTCGTAGATTGTGAAGACACCCTTGCTGCGCAGGCCATTGACGAAAACTGGCTTGTGGACGACATCGCCCTTTTTGAACCGCGCGCTTGCCTAAGGCATTGTGAGACGGCATTGCATGTGTAATGGAGAGCCCCGAGCTTACCATTGCGGCGTCGGGATCCACGCGCACGCCTGATTTTGTGTCTGGAATTTCATATTCAGGCTGAGAGGCCAGAAACTCGTCGTGTGGCTGATTGTCAGCTGCGTGAATGTCTTCAGCAGGCTGCATGTGCTGCGTGCCGAGTGTGGTGGTTGCCATGGCTTGGGGAGATGCGAGAAGTGAGGCAGAAAAGCCTTGTGGATTGTGCCCTTGAGGAAGAGAAGAATCGGGTGTTAATATACAAGTCCTTATTGCTGGCCTCTTAGGAGGACGATTGATGCAGCCCCAGGCAGCACAGGTTTGTGACTGGTATGATTACAGATGGGGGCCCAAATGGTTGCTTGCACAGCCGCCGCTTCGGCATCGTTTATGCCTTGTCCGACCAACACCGTTTATCAGCTCGCGCTGGAGGCGCACCTCGATTGAGTAAGCCAACATTCCCATGTGCAGTTTGCCATGAGCAGCGTTCGCACACGGCACCGATGATTCCGGCAAGACGATGGTCGAAAATAGATAATGGAGGCTCCGTGTGCGGCCCCCAAGCGGAAATTGGCCCGGCGTTGATTGGCAGGCTGGCCCTCGCATCTACCACATCTCCCCGCTCGCGCGTGTCGTGCATGTCCCGCCAATATGGGGGCTGAAAGCCACCGCGAACGCTTTCTTAATTATGGCTGGTTGCTGCAAACCTCACCTTCTGCAGCAACCCCGCTGTCCTCTTGATTCATGGCTCTCTCCTCAGACACTGGCGCGCACGTCGTGCAAACAATGGTAGCCGAGGCCGCTCCTCGCGTTGTAAACCCATATCCAAACAAAGTCATCCATGCCGACATACGCATACAATCGATTGACGAAGAGCCATCCCAAGATGGACCGGTTCAGCAGAGCGATGGGCGTATGCCCGAGAGCACCTCGAGCGCGGCAGATGCTGAATACCAAGAAAGAGCTGCAGAGATGCAGAACTGGTGGGCTGAGGCTATTGCACGAAACATGGACCTGCCGGAGGGGTACTCGCATGTCGCAGTGTTGATCATCAAGTGGGCGGATGACCTTGACGAGCTCAAGACGGGCGAAGAGGTGAGTTGGTGTGAAACACGTGTTGGCGTACGTCACCGTCTGACTTTACTAGGCAAGGGAACTCGGCGCTCTCTTCCGTGATAGATTCAACTACGCCACCAGCATCGTCGAACTCAACGTCGTAAAGAAGCCACAGCACCAGCTAGACAGCTATGTTAGCGATTTCATCTGCAACAACGATGGACCAGATAATCTCTTGATTGTATACTACACCGGCCATGGCGTTTTCAACGACCAGAAACACTGCCTCGAACTCACGGGCAGTCTCCGCAACAACGTTCTGCTCCAGGATAGAGGATTCCGCACGACTGCCCGCGCAACTTGGAACAAGGCAGAAGATCTTCTCAGGCATGAGGATGTCGAGGGAGATGTCCTGACCATCCTGGATACCTGCTACTCGAGCAATTTTGTCAAGTCTTCCAAGGATGGCCACAAGCGATTCGAGCTTCTCAGCGCATGTGCAATCGATCAGACGACTGAAGCTCCTGGCAAGAACTCGTACACCCGCGCGCTTATTGATGCTATCAAGGAGCTCCTAGACAAGGACGGCGAGGGTCCGATATCTACATTCCGTCTGTACCAGCGTATCAACATGGACCCTCGCCGCAAGGATACTCCGTCCCAGATATGGTCGCGTGGTAAGAGCGTTCACTACAGCGAACAACACATCTTCCTGGCGCCTCTGAAACTCGCGAAAGCACATACGTTGCACTTGCCCAGTTGGCGGACCAGGCCCAGGGGTTACCTGACCCTGCGTTTTGGTCTCCGAGATCCAATCCTAAACCAGCAGCAAATTGAGTTTATGACCAAAGCTCTCTCCAAGTCCTTTGCCAACAAGGCACTAATGGGTCTAAGGAAGATTGAGTGGGTGGAAATGGAGTCTGCACCACCCATGTCGCATTTCGAGCGTGTTGCTTCCGTCGTGCGCGTCGTGGCACAGTGGAAGAAGGCTGTGGTTAAGAAAAAGGAAGCAAGGCAGTCACAGCGCCATGATAACCAATCCAACCTACCGCACATAAACGTCGAATCAGCCAATGCGCTACACAAGCGCGCACGCACAGAAGCGGAAACAGATGAGCTGCCACATGCGAAGAGAGCATATCTCGACACCTCGCACCCTCCCTCGCCGCCAGTGTCAGAGTCTTCGCGTGCCGAAGCCGAAGACTCCTGAAGTCGTACTCTTTTTTTTACCGATTCCTTCGAACCTTTTTTTTCGCATTTCAGTTGAGTTTGCATGAGCTTAGGATACCCATTGTCGTGCGCTGTATACCATGATTTCAACTTGTTATTTTTATTTCCGTAGTTCCGTAGCGTTCCGTCTTTAGCTGCGTTGGCAACATTACTATTTCTCGCTCATGTGGCGAAGGTGGCACCACTTTCCAATCTCACCACCATCACCAAACTTAGCTTACCCAATGCAATGCAATAACGCCACACATGGCGGCGTCCTCCGTACCGTCACCTTGTTCTCGCACAAACTCGCATCCACGCTCCGTGACTGCATGACTTCGTCCACTAACCATCGTATAAAAGGCTTTGAGTACCTGCCACTTTCGTATCCACCACCACAACAAAGCATCAGCAATCACATCTACATTACACATACACATATTCAAGCTTGCATCTCAACCACAACCAGAGATCCCAGCAAATACAACACCGAACATGACAGCTACCACAATCATCACAGCTGTACCAACAAACCAACACGACCACACCATCGGTCATTGCCGCGCTCAACGGCACACACTCTACGCGTACACCGAGCATTGCCAAACAGTCGATGCAAAACCAAACCCTACTGTTTCGCAACCTCAACCCTGCAGTGAAGACGAGTGGACAGAGAGTTCAGAAGAGCTTGCGCGCTGGGGCATACAAGCTGCTGAGCCGGCGAGACAGGATGCTGTTCCTGCGACGAGAGTGCATGAAGAGCCCGAGTGTCTGAGGATCGAGGATGTTGCAAAGTTTTGGCAGTAACTGGATATGAGGATTGGAGTTTGGGAGTTAGCAAAGGGATTTGATGGCATTTGTTATTTTTGTAGAATAGATTTTTAGAGTTGTAATGAAATAAAGAATGCATGCATGCATGCATGATACCAAAAAATCTATAGTTATTTCGTGAACCTTCCACCACTTCATTATCTCTTGGATACTCATGGTGAATCAAATCATTATACCAAGTTCGCATGCAAAACTACCATTCCGTGTTAGTACACGATACTCCACAACGTCCGTTGGAGAAAGCAACGGAGTTGTATTGCCCCACATCGCCCACACCTCGCTTCACGTCAAAAATCATTGTCTAATATATTTTACCTAGTACCCAAAATTTCCATCAATCATCACAGCATTCAGGTGCGGTGCCAGAGTGGTTAATGGGTATGACTCGAATTAACTAGATATCATATGGCTTCGGCCGCAGGAGTTCGAATCTCCTCCGCATCGTTTTTTTCTTTTTGCATCTTAAGTGAGATGGCTGACCCACACGTGTACAACGTTATCTTTTGCGTGTTGACACAGTTCTGTTCATGCTGATTTGGCTGGGTGGTTACTTTTTTTTTTAACTTCGCATGAGATGGCTACATAGGGGTGCGAGCAGCGTCTAAATGCCTAGGAAGATGAGAGATGATATCCATGGTAAGTGTATATAGTATATTTATCATCATTATCTACTTACGAATAAACATACACGGTAACATGTAGTATGTGCAGGATGGGAGAAGCACATGGAATTAAGTTTTCTCTACCACTTAGTACACTCGCACCATGAAGAAGTCTCCTTCTCTCAATCAACATATCTAACTAAAAAGTATTCGTACAAACATCTTACTACCCAATAATCAGTGAACCATGACCATTCAGACTGGAAAGATTGTGCTAAACGGGATCGTATGCTATCTAATTTTTCCAAAAATATCATTAAGCAACACAGCGCCGTGCGCATTTCGTGCTAGCCTGTTGGTACACTGCAAATTCTAATTTCGTATTTTTTTGACTCTATACCAGTTACTTGGACAAGTGATTCAACTTGTTGGAATTCGTTTTCACCGGGAAATGTTGCATGTTTCGATGATGGATAGTTTTTTTCAGTATTACATGTCGGCCCTGGAAGTCCTGATGATTGGCCTACTCGAGCAGTTCAGATAATATTGGCAAACACGATGGATGTGCCGTTTCGATGATTGTCTTGATTATGCGAACGTACTTGGATAGTTCCAAAAGCGCAGGATCATCTCTCGGCAATGGTAAGTGTAGAGTTTTTCACGAAATTTGGTCTTCACTCCAGGTAACATGTATAACTGACAAAGTGAAACAGATTCATATTATCGTGACGACTATAATGGATATCGTACGTAGATGCGCAATGGTATCGCTCGCTTAGTGTAGTTGCCCCAAGGGTTTTAGAGCACAGCTCCGGAAAAAACCGCCAGCTACAACTCAACCAAACTCTCTCTTGATCAACATTCGTCAAGCTAATGCTGTCCTAATGTACAAAAAATTGACACGCAAGAACGCGCCCATATCTACAACAGCATCTTCCTGGGGTCCTCAATATACTCCTTGACCTTGACCAAGAAAGTGACAGCCTCTCGTCCGTCAAGAAGTCGGTGGTCGTAGGTGAGGGCGAGGTACATCATCGGCCTGATCTCAACCTTTCCGTTGATGGCGACGGGCTTCTCCTTGATGGCATGCAGACCGAGCACAGCCGTTTGTGGGAGGTTGATGATGGGAGTGCCCATCAGACTGCCAAAGACACCACCGTTGGAGATGGTAAAAGTACCACCGGCCATATCCTCAATGGTGAGCTTGTTATCACGTGCCTTTTTGCCAAGGTCTGCAATGGCCTTCTCGATGCCAACCATGTCCATGCTCTCTGCGTTCCTGACGACGGGTGTGACAAGGCCCTTCTCGGTAGCGACGGCAACCGAGATGTCGACGTAATCGCGGTACACAATGGTGTCGCCGCCGTTAGGGCCCTCAATGGAAGCATTGACAGCGGGGACATCGCGCGCGGCGAGGATGCAAGCGCGGGAGAAGGCGGACATGAAGCCAAGCTTGACGCCCTTGTTCTTGAGAATCTCATCCTTGTAGAGCTTGCGGAACTCCATGATGGAGGACATGTCGACTTCGTTGAAGGTGGTCAGAGAAGCGGCCGTGTTTTGCGACTGCTTGAGACGCTCGGCAATTCGGAGACGCATGCGGTTCATCTTGACCTGCATTGAACGGTTAGTGCACATATAACATGAGACAGACTCTGTATACATACGCGACGCTCCTCACGGCTGCCGGGGGTTGCGGGTTTGGGCTCCTCCTTTGGCTTGGAGTCCTTCTTGGGCTCAGGCTTCGATTCCTGCTTGGGCTGCTCTTGTTGCTTAGGAGGCGCTGGCTTGGATTCCTCCTTTGGCGCCTCAGGCTGAGACTGCTCCTGCTGGCCTTCAGGTTGCGATGAAGTCTCCTGGTCCTGAGAAGCGGGTTCCTTGGGTTCTTGGCTGGCTTCCTTCTTTCCACCTTCTGGCGCCGCGCCAGGCTCAAGCTTCACAATCTCCTGTCCAACAGTGACGGTGTCCTCCTCATTGACCAGGAACTCCTTGATGATACCGGCCTCGGGCGCATTTACAGCAACATCAATCTTGTCAGTCTCAATGGTTGCGATTTCTTCGTCTTGCTCAACAAAGTCGCCAACCTCTGCACACATCGTTAGCTTGCCCCCGCAGTCGAGCAACGAGAGTTGATCGCACGTTTTGACCATTGCTTGAGAGTTCCCTCGGTGATGGACTCGGCCATTTCGGGCACCTTGACGATGGTGTCGGCATAGGTTCTTATCTGCTCGAGAGCGCATAGGCGCTGTGAGGAGAGCTGAGCTGGGCGCCTGTGTGGGGGGTGTCAGTTGATGGCATGTCGGTGGGGTGGAGCAATTGGCCGCACCTTGAGGCCTGGCCCAGAAGACCGGATGAGTTGGCTTTGGTGAGAGCCGAGTAGGAGCGGGCAGTAGGAGTGCATCGGGGGCTTGCGCGCAAAGCTCGCACAGAGCGCATGGCAGCTGGTAGGCGGCGGAGACACTGTTGGCCAGACATGACGGGCAGATAAGCGAGGACCGAAAAAGAAACGAGAGGGGCGGGGAGAGATGAACGCCTGGGTGCGGGCGAGGAGCGATTTGCTATGCGATAGTATGCTCGGGTAAGAGGACAGAAGACTTGAGGCAATTCAACAGCGATGATGCAGTTCTCAAACAGGCACAGCGACCTCTTATGTAATCACGGGTCCCGCACTCCGCCCTCCGCACAGGCCCCACGACTGCCATGCGAGTAATAGCTTCGTACATGCATATAATATATTAACCATAGTTCGTTATGCTACTATCTCATCGCAGCTATAGCTAGCTCTTCTGTCGCCTTCGCCACAACAATAATCGATCTGGTTATCGTATCCAATGGAGGTGTGCCTAATAGGCATATACCCGTTTTCGTGCAGGCTTCTTTTTTGACTCTTTTTACTCTCACTGCAAAGCTATTCTTTGATACTCTATTCCAGCAGGGTAGGATGTGGCCTGCTTTTCTTTTCCGAGTAAAATAATTTGATGTGCTATAAGCCAAGCAGATGCAACAAATTCAAGTCATAGTATATTAAAGTATGTAGACGTGTTACTCATATAGCTCGTTATCCTATCTTGACATATGTACCCATCATCATCATTACAGCTTTAGCCGCATATTACGACCGGTCCGAACAGTCTTTCAAACATGAAGAAATGCAATTCTACCCTCCCTAACTCATAGTTTGACTGTACTTCTCGCTCGAATCCTATCCCCAAACTTGAGGAACAAAAATGGAATCGGCACCAGTGCGGTCGCTATGAACCCCAACATACTATTACCCCATCCATATCCCATCTTCTCATACATAGTTTTACTGCTCAGCGGAACGAACGCTGCAACCAGACTCCTCAGCACCGTTGCTGCTGCCATGGCACTCGCCGCATGCACCGTGAACACATCAACCAGGTATGTGTTGGCAGGCAAAAACGTCATCAACAGGCCAAATCCAATCATGCCCGTTGCAATCATAGGCACAATAAAGTGTGTCTGGTACTGGACGCTCCAGCCGTACATGAAGAGTCCGCCAGGAATAGAGATGCCGCCGATGCACATATTGTAGAGCCGGTGTTCGGGGCGGAAATCGCCGCGTTTGATGTGCTTGTTGACAGTTTTGTTGCCGTAATGGACGACAATGGATTGCCCAATGAATGAACCTATACCTATACCTAGGAATGAAAGACCGCTTATGCTGCTACTCCATCCGTATTGCTTCCTGAAGACGGCCGAGAAGGTGGTGAAGAGGATGTAGAGATAGGCGTACATGACCGCGATGTATATGGAGATGGAAGAGCAGATTGGCGAAAGAAACAGCATTTTAGCCGGGCGGACGATTGAGTATCGGAAGAGTTGTTGAGGGGTAAGCCCTGTGTCAAGTTTGGAGCGCAGTTTAGAGTTGCCGGTTGAGGCTTTCAAGCGGTTGACTTTGCGTTGGAGGATGATGACAGCGGACGTTTCTGACATGAGGATAAGTGAGATGATGAAGAATGCACTACCCTGAGGTTTAAGTTAGCCGAGCTCTTATGTATCGTGATGAGAAGCCTACCAGTATAGCCACAAACCAAAAGTTCCATCTCCACCCCTTTGCAGCCGTGAGGAAGCCACCGATCACAGGACCGACGCAAGGCCCAATAGCTACATCAAACGCATCAGCCACATTTCCGCAGGAAAAAATGGCCATATTGACTTACTAGGCCCCATAATCCACACCGACATCGCTGTCCCCCTCTGCTCTCTCGGAATCAAATCTGCAATCGTGCCACCCCCAAGCACCATGGGCGCTCCGCCAAAACACCCCATGAAGAACCTAAACACAATAAACTGCGTCATATTTGTTGCCACAGCCGCCGCAATCGTAAATATAATAAACAAGAGATTGCAGCTGTGATATAGCGGCAATCGCCCATACATTTCAGACAGTGGCGCGATAATCATCGGCCCAAATGCGAAGCCAAGCACGTACACTGACACCATGAAGCCAGAGAGTAGGTCGTTTGTCGAATGGAACTCGCGCATGACGTCGGGTACGCCGGGTGCAAACTGCGAGCTCGCGAGTGGTGTGAGGAAGGTGATTGCAGAGACGAGAGATACTGTGCCCCATTTCTTGAAGGCTGTCCAGTTCATTGGGTTCTCAGGGTCGTCCGGACCGTCGAAGTCGACGATGTTGGGGTCTCGGTCATCGTCTGCTTCTGTGTCGTCGTCATCGCCGCTAGATATTGAATTGGTGTTGCCCTTTTCGATATCTTTCTCTCCTGGTTCGTATTCGTCTTTGACCTTGTGTTGCCAGGCTGCGTTGCCGGAAGTGTGACTTGGCACTTGATGTATCGAGCCAAGGTTGGTTGGGATATCTGCATCGTGGCCTTCGGCTACTGCTTGGTCAATGATCTCGCTTCTTGTGGGGTGTCGATAGAGTTCTGATGGCCCTTGTTCGGACATGGCGTTGATATGTGAGGAATAGAAGAGGTCTCGCGTTCGAGTTAAGTTGCTATCATTCGATGCTCAGAATGTATTGCGCAGCTCGTCGTTTCGAAAATACAGAGGCTAGTAAAGCACACTCAAAGGTAACTAGTAATTAAATCGATGGCACTAAGATGTGTATACTTCTCAACTATTTGTATCCGCGCCCGGGAATAGGCAAAGCAAATAGCTGACACAAACGTACGCGTACAAAGACCTGCATGATTGCTTAAGAAGCACAAGCTGGAACACGGCTAGAATACCAGCAGCCAAGTACGGGCCGGGGTGTGCAATCACCTCTATGTCCGCATCGTCAGTGGCTTGTCATGGAGAGATTGTGCGCTTAACCCCGAACATGGGTGCTTCAGGGCGTAAGGCGTGCTTTTTACCGGGGCCACCAAGTAAGTATACACTTGCATTGCATATTCGTAGGGCGCGTTCACGTATTATTGGGGCACATGGTCCCAGATGAAGTCTCTTGCATCTACTTATATCCGCGACTCACAAATTCCATAGAGTATTATTCCGTAGATATTTGGTTAAAGGAGACATATCCCGCATTGTTTAACCGAAATACCCCCTCTTTTCCCCACACACAACTCAGCCGCATTTTCGCCCATGATCGCATAACTACTCCCGCGGCTCAAAGCCAAGCCCCAGTTGTACCCTCTGTGTAACAACATAACTGGAATACCATCACTCTCTTTGAATTTGTAATCGTCGAATGAGAGTCGTATTATCCTCATCATGTGTCAAATCAAAGATATAGCGGTCGTATACCATCCACTAGTAAGTATGCAACCTTGCAAACATCACAACACCTCGGCCGAGCCGGTAAGCACACCGCCACACGGCTATTGGCTCCTGTGACCTGTTGCGCCCCACTAGTGTCCTTCGGCGGTTACAATGTCGCGACTCCGAAGATAGAGTGAGTGGAAAACAGTACGTTGTCCATGTCGTCGGCTAGTCACCGTTATATGCACATAATTACTTCTGGCTACCCACACGCTTGCTAGTGGTGGATATAAGCTGTCATAAAGCAGAAGAAACAATATATTGAGTCATACAAGTGGGATTTCTTGGCCATATAGGTAAGGTTCTGGGTACTATCTTCAAAGCCACCGACGGAGAGAAATAGCTCCTAGTAACAGTAGGTCAGGTAATTTTTGTCTTGGGTCACCGCTCTATCAAGAACCTAGCTGCGTATAGATATACATGGTAAGCCTACGAGCTAGGCTCATCCCAGACTAGTCCAGAACAAAAAAAGTCGGCCGAAACGCGCTCGATAAGCAGCGTTTCCCTGTACAGCACCACTTTCTTCATCAGGCTTTCCTTTTTTTTCGTGATGCTCCGAGTCAACAAACATGACGCATAGTATTGGAATCCTGATGCCCAAAGCTTCCGTCTCAGCAGGTTCCTTGAAGACACCGAGGGCATTCATGAAGCTAGTGGCCATCATGTCAGAAGGGATGAACGTAAATGTGGAAAACAACTTATTTTCCGCTTTGGGAGGGGACCGCGGAATTGCACCGCGCATGACCTTGCCATGTTGGAGATGCGCCTTATGCTAGTCGGACGACACGTCGGGTTGACATTTTCAAGAACAAGAATAAGAAGAATAAGAAGGAGTATACGACATCAGCTACGTAGTGTATTCGCCGGATAGTCAAATACGAATCTGTTTTACGGAACGGACCGTTGGATCCATGGATGCGGACTAGAAGGTACCAGAAACAATGTAGTAGTATGCTAGCGCAACAGAACAAAAAACCACCAATAGAAATGTTCATTGTCGAGTAACAAAAGCCTATTATTCACGGGCCCCATTGAGCAACTCAGATTACAGTAATTGCTTTTATTAGCGCATCGAAGGAATCGGGCCTTCTAGGATGCCTAATGAATACTAAATGTTCTACTAGGTAGCAACTTCATACTGCAGAGCGACTGAACTCGCCTTCAGGCTAAACAGATACAATCTGCTTACTGCTACGCGTTCTAAGTTTCACTTCGAATTGTCACTATAGCTGTTAAACATGAACCAACGAATTGATAGAAACATGAAAGCAACAACGGATCAGGAAAGTGCGTGTCTCGATAGCTCCACGCGTTACTGCATCATACGATATCTCTTCTACCTCCTTCTATCTCCTTCTATCCTCTACACCAACGGTCTCCAACAAACTGCGCCTATATCTCAACCTAAACTACAAGACAGCTTTAAAGGCTATTCAATTGTTCCGACACTCCAAATCCGGTAACTGGTTCGCCATCATGGATTCCTGAAACTTCAACGTAAGCTTCGAGGATAGTCGTTCCAAGATCAGGAACATCCAAATTAGTCAGTTCTCCTGTACCTGGATGTTTTACTGTAACCTCCAAAGATAGACCCAGAGTTGGTAAGTTCAAAGTATATCCATTGTGGTATGTAAGATTGGTGACCGGTGATACCCATGGTCCGGTAGGATGAATGTCGTCCTCTAAGGTGTGAACCTCGGTATGTCCATTAGGGAATAGAACAGTTGCAAAACGTGATAGTTTCAATGGAAGATTGGTTGAGGATACATGCCAAACGCTCATCGACCATCCATTCGATAAGTAGATGGTATAGAAGTCCCATCCTTTTGTGGGAGCACCAGGACCCCATTGTCGATCCAACCAACCCACTGATTCCTCAGGAATAACCGCAACATCAGTGCCGTTCACGTTAATGCTGCCTGTAACCCATAGTTGAGGAGATGCAATCTCATGGGTAATTCCACCCCCGAACCAATGAATTCCCGAACCTGCGTGGTATAAATTGGGGCCTCGCGGCTCGAGGGTGAGATTCATTGTCACACAGGGATGGAAGGTCTCTGCGTGCTGCACAGAAACCAGATCAGGTTTAGTCGAGTATTTGTGCGCAACCTTGTTGCTAATGTCGTATGTCGTATTTGAAAATGTCCCCGGAGTAAAATCAGTTCTCCCGTAGTATTCTCCTGTATCGATATCTAGGAGAGATAGGCAGGAATTGATGCCTTCCCCTGCAGTGATAACTTGAGAAAGAGTGGTAATAGCGAAATAGCCATGGCCATTCTCCGCAGTTAACCATAATGCGTACCAATAGCTGTTGATTAAATTGCCAGTACCAAGTGTCATCGCGGTTGTCAAGTCGACACCCGGGCCATTGATCTTGATATGTAAGCACTAACCAGCCAATTCTGTTGTAGGTACTTACGGTGGATGGTTCATCAAGTACTGGGGTGGTTGATGGTGAACGGAAGAAAGCTGAACCGGAACTCGCAAGAGCCGTTAACAACAATGCTGATCGACGCATCTTACGATTTTATAGCTGAGATTCTGTTCAAGGAGGGACCTAATCGCTCTTGGCTTGCTGTTGTTATGAGATTTGCTGCAGTTGGTACGGACATATCTCTACGACCTCGACGGTAGGCTTTAAGTGTTCAAGTGTCTAACAAGGAGACGATTACCATGTCTGTATATCTACATGAGTATTGCTAGTAATACCGAAAGTAGCAAATATCGGAGATCTATGCTACCGATATGCCGTGCATCGTCTGTTCCGCCAGCCTCCGCCTAGTCCCGACTACCGATATTTGCCTCTGTCTAGTCCCTGAATGTCTTCATCTACCTATGTCTCCTCATAATCGGCAGCCAGGCTACCCATGTTATTCAGATACCGGATCTTTGTCATTTCCAAACAATCAGTTGTCTCGGCTAACTCTGCTTTGATTTCAAGCGATACACCTGAGAATTTCAATGCATATTCAGGCACTAACCCTGAATATGTCAAGTTTTGGGCAAGATACTGAGTACCGCGATTTGATGAATATCTAGTAGGAAGCGGCTTGTGCACGGTCGAATAATGAAGGAATTGTCTATCGCGTCTCTTTGAGACTTCTACCGCGCTAGTTCGTGTGTACATCCCCCCGTAGGCCGAGTCGGTAATGGTCCCCAATGGTTATCGAATCGAACTTCCATTCAACTTCTCGGAAGACGGATCTGCAACAGCCCGCTTTGATCTCGAGCCCCTTTGGCTCCAGACTGGATACAGAAGAACATCCTTTTGGTAAGTACCAAACTTCCCATATGGTCTCTTGTTTGGCTACCCAAGTACCTTCGGCAACACACAAAGGTAACGGCATTTCAGCCAGGCCCCTTTGTCTCAAAGATGAAGATGAGATCAACAAATCCAGAAATCATAGCGTCTAGGCATCTCGATTCTACTATGTTTATGTGCATCAGCTTTGTCGGATCTGATAGATTGCTCAAGTGCTCTTTCCGTCCTATCCTCATCCTTTAGGCCATGGGGGCTATCTAGGGTCATCTTACCGACCACAACCAATTCGTGCTTGGACTGAGTGAAATTTCACCATCGAATTACGAAAACCTCTTTCGCGTTTGTCCGTGCCCTAGTCACCTTGGGTAGTCGAGTGACGGACTAAGTGACGGTGGGAGGCCTGCGCCACTTAGAGGGGGGATGGCACCTTCTCAATGACCCCGCATTGGAAAATGCCACGTAATACAACCGTCCCGTATACCTAGATTTGATCTGCCAAGGTATCGATGTGAACCGGGATACCACAGATGAAGTGCCGATACCTCATGCCAATTTCTACGTTCCAGCCCACGTGTTGCATGCCAATCACTTTCATATACACCGTAATCTGCCCAATCTGCTTAAGAAGCTGAACTAGCACAATTGGGTAGGACACCGTGATATAGACCCTTCAGCAGGTACTTTTATATGACTATGTATCTCACTCCGCCATTCTATGCGGTAAATTGATCAGCAATAAAGAAGACATTGGAAATTCCAATGGTACGACTGCATGCGATCTCTTCTTTTTTTTCAACTGCTCACCTCAATAACATTGATAACTAATTGTATATCTAAGACGCTTCTCTTGTATATCAGAGTTTGCTATAAGCGCGATCATAGAAAGTACTCAGAAGTGACTCCCAGTGCTGGTGCTTGCCTTGCTTTATTCATGATGATCATGAGGATGAAGAGCAAATAGTGCATAGTCGTTCCTAGGCATCGCATGGCATTGCAGCATGGCAAACTATTCGGTACATAATGATAGACAGCATAGAAGCACGTTAGTGGTACTCGGTGGCCTTGACTCTAGCTCAGGAGATATGATTGGCTGATAACACCCCGCCGATCACAGATGGACCCCACCTGTCATTCGAAATTCTATGAGACCCTGACGAGAACTCGGGTTCATTTCAGTTACCCGGGCGCCATGGCCAAAGAAACCTATTCATCTATTCCTTAAAAGAATAAAGTTCATCAAACGACGCTTACTCATCAAGCAATATAAAATTGTTAGATTAGAAGTTTTTGAACTAAGACCAGCTTTATCACGATAAGAAGGTGCTTCGATCTTCAGTGGCTGATAGAGAATTCATGCGATAACAACTTTCAATGACACAGTCTATGCATTCGAATACTGTAGTCTTTTGCATTCGACTAGCTTGGTCCCCGAAGACCTTTTCTAGAAAACAGTAGTCTCTGCTTACTAAGGGCAGGCCTTATTCCCAATTTACTCCTACTGATGTTAATTAATCTTCTAGACGTGCCGCTGATCTAGCGCCTTAGCCTGCATAGTAGTCGCGTGAGAGACCAATTGACGGCCCGCTGGCGCCCGCTGTATCAGGCCGACTACCAGGGGGATCTGCTACTAGACTGGTAGCTGAGACCTTGGACCAGCGCTTGCGACTGTGCGCCGAGCTGAAGAGTTAACCCCTCGCATGGCGTGGCAGCTGGCAACAGGCGGGCGGCTATAGGGCAGGCAACGAGGCTGAGTAGAACCAGGCTGAGCAGAACCAGGCTGAGCGGCAACAAGAGTAATTGTTAGGTTGCCTAACACCATGTTACACCTTGACACCTCCTCTCCTATTCCTCGTCTACAGATTCTCTTTTGTTTTCCGCACTCTGATACTTGCATATGCCGCGCCAGCTGTGTCGTGAAGACTATACAGTAGGATGGGTGTGTGCCCTGCCCATTGAACTGGCGGCTGCCCAGGAGATGCTCGACGAAGAGCACCCCGATCTCAAGCCCGACGCGTCCAATAACGACGAGAATCTGTATGCGTTAGGATCGATTGGTGGCCATAATGTCGTCATCGCATGTCTGCCCGCAGGCCAGATTGGCAACAACTCAGCGGCTGCGGTGGCAATGCAGATGCGAGCGACGTTCAAGAAGATCCGGTTTGGGCTGATGGTGGGCATTGGCGGCGGCGTCCCAGGCGCGGAAGATGTCCGACTAGGGGACGTCGTGGCTAGCCAGCCTCATGAGACGTTTGCTGGAGTCGTACAGTACGGTATGGGCAAAAAGACACCGAGTGGCTTCGAGCGTACAGGGTCGCTAAACGCGCCGCCGAAGATACTGTTAGCAGCTCTTGCGCGGGTAAGGGCGAACGAGCTGCGCGGTAGAAGTAAGCTGTTTGAGTACGTTGTTAAGCTAGAGAGTATCGCTCTGTTTCAGCGCAGCAAGGCTGGGCCCGACGTGCTATTCGAAGCAGCATACGATCATGAAGCAGACGACCGTAGAGCAAGGCAGACATGCGACAGGTGCGACCTGAGCAGGAAAATCACTCGACATACTCGCGAGAGTACGAATGAAGTCGTGGTACACTATGGGACTATCGCGTCTGGCAACCAGGTGATGCGGAGTGCTAGAGAGAGAGATAAGGTCAGCAAGGAGCTTGGTGGGGTGCTATGTTTTGAGATGGAGGCAGCAGGGCTGATGAATAGCTTCCCGTGTTTAGTCGTCCGTGGTATCTGCGACTACGCGGACTCACACAAGAACAAGCGCTAGCAACCGTATGCGGCGGCGACGGCGGCCGCATACGCCAAGGAAGTGCTGTCGACAATTCCGCGGGAAGAGGTGGCCGAGTTGCGCACAGCGGAAGAGGCTACAGAACCCAGAAGTAAGTGGCATCTTGTTCTTGAACTACTTGAAAGCTGGGTGGTGCTAATTTCTATGTGTTTAAAGAACGCAAGTCTGAACGCTCTCCTAGTCCTGATGCTAAACGCAGAAAGGTTGACGGGGCAGAAGACCTGGAGACTGACACCGCAGAGTGAGTAAACCTTGCTATCTTGTTCAATTGTACTGCTCTGTTAACAACCAAAGCCAGCAGAGATCCACGGCGTCAGTACCACTCTCATCTGAGCAACATAGTAGGCAAACCTTGATCAGCCACCTAATGGATTACTGACTTTGATTAGATTGCCTAAGATCACTCTCTTTTCCGGAGCAAGAACATCGGTTCCATGACATTCATACCGCCGTAGATACCTGTGAATGGCTTTTTGAACATGCAGGCTACCAAGCCTGGATGAAAGCAGATTCGGGGCTCTTTTGGATCAAGGGAGACCCTGGCGCGGGCAAGTCTGTGCTTATGAAACACTGCGTTAAGCGAATGCGCGAGCGCAGCCCAGACAGCCTTGTTGTTTCTTTCTTCTTCCATGGCCAAGGGAAGCCCTTGCAGAAGACATTATTGGGGTTATTCCGCGCACTGTTAAGCTCAATTCTCGAACATTTCCCAGAAAATCTTGCTCGGCTAGCTGCGAATTATACAGAGAAAGAGAAACGTTACGGCAGAGACGCATGGGAATGGACCGACACCGAACTCAAAGAAGCCTTGTACAACATAGTATCAGAGGCTACTCACCATCAACGTCTTGTCGTCTTTATCGATGCACTTGACGAATGCGGGGAAGATCCGGCAAAGAGTTTGTTAGAATATCTCAAAGGCCTTACCTACCAGGCAAAAAGTAGGCACGCGAAATTCAGAGTATGTCTGTCCTCAAGACACTACCCGATACTTGCGCTTGATACTATACCCTCGGTACAAGTGGAGAAGATGAATTGTCAGGATATACAATGGTATGTCCGGGAGCGATTGAAAGAGATCACGCCAGCGCCAAAGCGTGAACAGATCCATGCTGAAATTCTTTCCAAATCTAATGGTGGATCTCAATGGGTGTTGCTTGTGACCAGAGGAATAATTGACAAGACTTTAATTGGCACCAAAGTAGAGAAGCTGCTCGAAGAAATTGCCAACTGCCCGGAAACACTGAGCGAAATGTACGAAACGATTCTCCGCGGGGTTCCAGCAGCGAAACAGCATCAAATGGCAAAGATCTTCCAATGGGTACTCTTCGCAGAAAGACCTTTGTCTGCCCAAGAGCTTCGGGATGCGCTTGCTGCCGATAAAGACATGAGTTATAGGACGGTCCGCGACCTCCGAACCCATGAAGGTTGGTCCGACACTTTGGTCGATTTCGAGAGATACGTGAAGTACATCTCTAGAGGTCTTATCTGCTTCCAAAGCCGCGAATTATGGGAGCAATATGAAATCAACGCACTAGACTCAGACCGAGAGGCTCAACTTATTCACCAATCAGTGGCGGATTTCCTAACAGAGAAGTTTGCTAGTCTATTTGGCAATCATTTAACTGCAGCACAATCTTTTATAGGAGCTAGTCAACTACAGATTCCAAGGTCTTGTCTTCGGTACATGATTTTGGAAGATATACTGGAAGATGCTACTCTTCCAAGAGGTACCATCTCCTCGAAGTACCCGTTAGCGCCATACGCCGTACGGTTCTTGTTTACGCACATCAAGAAAGTTGAACAGGAAGGAATTCCTCAATATGACTTACTTTCTGCAATGCAATGGAAGTCGAACTCTGAGGCTATGCGCAAGCTTGCCACCCTATGGAGAACTCTCGACCCGAATAGCGTACACATGCCTCTCGGGTGGCCATTTATCCAAGCGACAGCTTTACATGTCTCAGTGGCCTTTGGTTCCATAAGTGCGGTCAATATAATACTAGAGTCGGGGTTCAAGGGGTTTGAAAAAAGAGACGCTGACGGAAATACACCACTGATGCTCGCCACGAGAGATGGCCACCAGGATATGGCTTTGACGTTGCTAGATCGAATAGTCGACTGCGAGAGCCATTATGAACATCATGATCCTGACAAAGAGTGTGGGGTCACGCCTCTTTCAGTGGCACTCGATACAGTCATCAACACGCAGAACAACGGCGATGAAACAGCACTCGATTTTGCTCTGGAGCACAACATGGGTGGGGTTGTCCTCAAACTCATCGAAGCAGGCGTCAATCTCAAATACTTAGGGCGAGAGGCCGCATTGTTGGCTCATGCTATCAGCAACAGAAACACGAATCTTCTCTCGACACTGATTGAAAAGAAACTGAATCTTGATGGTGCCGTCTTCTTCGCACTCAAAGACCAGCTGCCTCGGCGTGATCTTGTTTTGGAAGGCATGATCTTCCAGTTACTCAGCGCCGGGGCCAACACAGCTAGATCTTTAGAATCAAACGCTGTATCTGAAATCAAAGACTACGAAGAAGGCGTTGAACAGGAGAAAAATGGCGGATATGATACCGATGCACTTGCATTAGCTTCTAGGAGAGGTCTTACTAACGTGGTCGAGATGCTTTTGCAAGATGGTGCACCGGCAGCCTTACAGAATGCTCTTGGGGAATGTCCTCTATTGATCGCAGTATGATACCGTCACAAAGAGGTTATCAAAAAGTCGCTCTCGAGAGCGCCATCATCAGTAGAAATACAAGACCAATATGGCGATACAGCCTGGAGCCTAGCATTTCAGGGTATGGAATTAGGGATCATAGAACTTCTGCTTCGAGAAGGAAGACTCTCAACACCCAAGAAGCTCTCAGAGAAATTCTTCATGGAGCTTTCCAAAAAAGAACGGACTCATTATATTGAGATGATTCTACAACGGAAGTTTGTAGATCCCAACATACAAGACGAATTTGGAAGAACAGCACTGTCGTGGGCGGTACGACATGGAGATGAAGAGACAGTCAAGCAACTTCTAGGTACAGGGAAGGTCGACCCTGATACTAAGGATGAAAACGGATCCACGCTGCTGCTGTTAGCAGCACAACATGGACATGATGGGGTGGTTAAGCAGCTTCTAGACACAGGCAAGGTTGATGCTGATGCCAAGGACAAGAACGAATGTACACCGATTTTGCGGGCAGCATACAACGGACACGAGGCGGTGGTTAAGCTGCTACAAGATGTAGGCGGAGGGCAGAGGTGGCGCAGTGGGTTTTCTTCCGGACACCAAAATACTTTTACTACAAGGCCAAGGAATCCGGCAAGTGAATAATCCAGATCCTTCTATCTCGAATAATCGTTAAGCTTCTCGTAAATACTAGAGCCTATTTGAATGTGAAGAATAATTTCCATTAGATAGTTGTATTTTCAAGAAGTAAAGTTTCAGAGTAAAACGTGAAACAGGCTTTCTTAGTTTCTGCTTAATCTGCAGCTGTACTATTTTAGGGGTCAAAGTGCTGTATCCAGCAACTTTAGACAACCCGTATCAGCCAATACAGCAACTATTGATAACAAGATATACGCAAGGTCGAATCTCATATTACCAACAATAACAGATCGACTACGCTGTTATCTGCCGAATATAATGACCTAGATGTGATGGTGGAGAAGCAGGAGAAGCAGTAACTCCAATAGTAGTTCAAAATTACATAGAAATACAAAGATGTAACTCACATATGTTTCCCACAACTAGGTAAATTTATCAGTTCACTCACCAGCCCTCAAAAATCTAGATATCAGTCGTTGAGATCCTTCCCCATCTTCAGAAATAGGTCAAGTAGCTAAGTCTCTTAAGTCTGTCTTATTCAAAATACCGCAGCTAGATCTGTTGTCACGCCTAAGAAAACGAACGTAGCACATCGTTGTCTTGGTATGTCTACTAGTGTGACTGGTAAATCTTTTCTCGTACGGAATCGATAGCTGCTGTGGATTGAAGTGACCTTGGTATAACCATACTGGTCATTCAACCTTTACAAAGACTTTGGCTAGAACAGTATACAGAGCCTTGGAGTGGTTGCTGTTGTCTATGAACGATAAAGCGATAGTCGCATACAGCTGGCATAAGTCAGGAGCTCGGAGGTCAGAGGCCACATGATATTACGACAATCTTAACAACAAGCCCAAAGAATCATCAGTTGTGATATATGTTCTACTTCTGCCATCAACCTGGCTCTCGGACCATCTACATTCAACGGTAGCCTGGCCATTGTTGTACCCAACTACATATCTGTTCAACCTCAAGGCCTCGGACTCTACGCACGTCTGGATGCATCTCCGCAGTGAGCGTCATTAGCTCGCTGTGGTGAAACCCAGTCTCGATAACATGGACGACTATATCCTGCTCTGGTATACTTCGCATTGGTCCGCCGGGTCGCCGCTGAGCTGCAACACCCATCTCGCGCCATACATCCTGGCTGCCGCTGCTAAAAAAATACGTGTTGCATTTGTAGGCTGCTAGCCACCTGTGTAATCATTGAGCATGTGTGCTGTCCGACCCTTCTTCGCACCAAAAGTTTCTCCGTTCGGACCATCAGGGAAGAACAAAGCGCATTGTTTGAAAAACAACTCTGCTGTTGTAAGGCGACTTACTAACGAAGTTTCGTTCAGGGGCGCGCCGACGATGTAACCGCTAATCAGGTCGTTGCACTGTAGCGCTAAATTTCAAGTGTAGCTCCAAGGGTATTCCGCCCCATGCGAAGCTTTCGCAAAAAGAAAACTTCTTTATGCTGACAATCACGCATCAATAGTAACATATAACTTATACTAACAGAATGTATTTAACAAGTTAATATTGGCTTGAGAAGAGTTTCTGACTGCAGCTGCCAATCCTCCATTCCTACTTCTTGCTATTTTCAACCACTGCACACAAAGTCCCAAACCTGTGAAGCAACTTGTTCTAGACTCCTCACAAAGTTAGCTCTTGCATCATGCGCATTCTAGCCGCAAATCCCCCGCTTGCCCTCTCTGCAGCTCTCACAGTCCCCAGCAATATGGACAACGATCTGACGAAACGAGGAAACGACATGGTCGCAATCCTCTCATGTAATGGCGTCCTTGTAGCCTGTGCGGCTGCATGCCTGAGACTTGTATGTCTCTATCTCATATAGAGCGTCCGAGACATAGGGCTTACACAATCACAGCAAGCTACGCATGCACGAGAGGCTTGTAACTCTTTTTGTTACCATGCATGGCTGCGGCAGCTTCGAGAAGCTGACAACAACCTTCCATCTGGAATCGATGCGCCCGCGATTACTCGTCGTCAAAATATACAGGCGGTTAGCGGATGCAATGGCAGAATGGTCAAGTGCATCGACGCTGTGAACGATTCTTTGGGCGATGTTACCTTTGCAGTAAGTGTCTATTTCCAAGCTTTCCATGTTGTTACTAATCGTAATCTAAGAACCCTCTTCAATGGAATAGTGAGGTGCAGTTATGTGGCGGATTGTACAACACTTGTGCAAAAAATGCGGGTTATACTCCAGGCAGATAATGCTCACTTGATTGTGACGGGCTACACGCCCTTTGGTCGAGCTGCTCGGCGGGATGTCGGTACGCATTATGCTTATCTGAACCATGTTTGGACGCCACGCTCAGATCAATGGGAGAGCATATTTCCTCCAACCAATTCAAACAGGGATATGAGTACCCACGTGCACAGTCATTAGTCCTCGATCAAATATGATCTTATTTTGTTTGTTGTCAATCTTGGTTTAGCGCTCAAAGCCGTCCTCTCGGATAGGTAGGTAAGCATATAGTATGCTGTCAGCATTGCTTATAAACTTTGTAATATCCGTAACCGTATGACCAACCCTTGCAAGCATCCGTAACTTTAGTCAACTGCAGACCAATCGTGTGGTGGCCTGAGAAACAAAAGCATTAGTCTAGTCTCACGCTCATTTTATCATTGCACATGAAAAGAGCCCTGGAAAAAGGCAAGGCTCACAACGAGTGGGGAAGTGTAATACCTTTAGGCAGAGTGAAATATCCATGCTGGCCACCATTCTTGTGTAAACATGACTCAACATCACCGCATAGCCCATTGTCAAGTTTACCTGATCCGTGTGTTTCTCAAATATGCATTCCGTCGACGAAGACCTCCATGTGCTCGCACCTATTCAGATTGTCGGAAATCACCATTATGCCGTCTTCTTTGATGTCGAAATCTCCCCAGGCAACTTTGGAGTCCTCATATGTATTGGATTTGCGATAGAACGTAAGATACCCCCAACTCGTCAAGTCCCCGTCGGTGCATGGGTCGTCCTTAATCTTGTGTGGCCTGCGAGAAGGGTGGGGCTCGTGGTATACGAGTCCGTCACGGCAGGTGCATGTACACTCGTCCTTTTTGGGCGCAGAATCGGCACAAACTAAGGCAGAGCTGTATCCTTTATGGAGTTAGAAGTGGTGGTGGTGGTATAAGAAGATGTTGTGCAATGGACATGTAGGAGAACCCACCCCCCGGGCAAGAGAGCTCTGATCCATAAGCCATAAAATTTTGAGATTGAGCATAGATGACGTGGGAGGTAAGGAAGGGGAGGATGAATGCAAAGGACTTTACAATGTGCATCTGGCAGATAATGATTGATCAAATTGTTGGACCTCCAGAGTGCTGTGGTGATCTATTTCTAAGACACTTTCGGGGTTTATATCTTGGACAATGTCTTGAGACTGTGTAGTATTGGCGTCTTTTCGACGTGACGTATTGTAATTTGTTTCATTCACGGAAGAAGCCATGGGGCCGGGTTCTATTTCGGCCTATCCCCAATCAAAGCTGAGCTAGATAGTTTACCAAGATGCTTAAGTCAGTGGCCTGATGGAAAGCTGAGGTAGAGTATTCATTTTTTCCCGCTCAAAGTCACTCCGCCTGGAAACCATCATTCAAATCGTGCCCAAAGATATGTCTTTTGTTCACGACAATACCGCATTAGAACATTTCTTCTAGAGGCAACATCTCTTCCAGAGTGTCCTTTACAGCAAGGCTCTATTTCGATGTTACATCAAAAACGCCATACAAGAGGCCGTGTTCTGAATGCCAAGACGGTGTATCTGGGCGGGGAACCGAAGGTTGTGCTTCTAGAGGAAAGAAAGGCAAGATAGACAGACATTTCCATAACTTAGTGATGATCTGCCGCTGCAATTGTCATTTCGGAAGCACCGGAGAGTCTAAGTCCTATTGAGACCTAGTCTTTGTAAAGGCAGAACTTTCCGGGCACCAATACGCTTGCGAGAATGGTAAATAGTCCCCACTGACGTGGCACTTACAGAATAGAACACAGAAATGCGGAGGGGAAGTCTTCAATTGAGTGTATCGATTGGTCGTTCGGCGGATCCAACTACTCATCAGTTCTGGGCAGCCCTTCATTTAAGGTTCTTACACCAGTTTTGATCGGCTGCCCGTTCACCAATGAGCTTACGGCAGGCTGAACATGTGTTTCTGAGGTGCGAGCAAGACTTGATTGTGGAGAGTCGGCTCATGTGATGAACTGGCACATCGTACCAGAATAACCTGGGGAATACCTAGACAAAGTCTGCACGTGTCGTGAGAGCAGTATTGGATTGGAGTGATGCCACCTTTTTATCGATCAAAACTAATCGTCAGTATGATAGTGAATACTGGGACAGTTGCCATTTCTAGGTGAACCCTTTTCGGTGATGCAATCTGCCAAGCCATAATAAATTTCCTATTTCGGTGGCCAGTCTAGTAGGAGTAGAAGTACCGATTTTGATCCATGTATTGATTAAACAAGTAAGCAGATTTCGAATCGTCTGTCTCAATTTAATCTTATTTGATGAATTCCTCCAGCTCCCATAAATTCTGATTTGATGCGACGAGATGTTTTGTGATGATGACAAGGCTGAAGCGTAATCGAGTGCTGCTGCCTGGATTCTTGTTCGACTGCATTTAGCCGCCATTGCCCTAGTAAGTAGTGTGTGCGTTACCCCCGCTACTCACCAATGCGCATCGCTTTCCATCGCAAGTAGTCGTCGATAAAAAAAACCTGCATACAGCAATGGCCAAGAATCACGAGTTCACCATAGGATGGATTTGCCCTCTCCCATTAGAGAAAGAAGCTGCAAGGCTAGTGCTGGACGAAGAGTATCCGCAAGAGGAGGTTCAGTACCAGAATGCATACTACTTGGGCGGCCAGATTGGCAAACATAAGGTTGTTATTGGGGTGCAGCGAAGGACAGGACTGACTAGTGCGGCAGTTCTTGCTGAGAAGATGCACGCTGGGTTCCCCAATATCAAGTACTTTCTCCTTGTCGGCATTGCTGGCGGTGTGCCCCGCTATGGGCCACCTGGGGCAGCGTCAGAGATTGTACTTGGCGACGTGGTGGTTAGTTCTCCTCGAGGGAAGCTCGGCGGGGTATTGCAGTACGACAAGGGCGTGTGGGAAGGTCAAGGGCAACTAAAGTTTCTAGGACACACAAACGGCGTTCCAGGCGATCTAATGGCCGCCGTCAATAACTTCCGCGCAGATGGATGGTCTAAAACAAATATCGCAGAAGTGCTGAAGCAAATGCGTTTGAAGCTGCCTGAGGAACAAAAGCACCAGTACGATGACCCAGGTCCCGGCCGTGATAGGCTCTTCGAAGACACTTACGAGCACAAGGGCACAGGGCTTAACGACTGTAGAGAGTGCTGCGATATGGATTACATTGCATCGCGATCTGATCGAGGAGATGGAGCTACTCGACTAGTGGATAGGCCATTGGTTCACTTTGGCAATGTCGCGTCAAGCAACCAGTTGCAAATATCGGCTGTAGAGCGCAATAGAGTTCAACGAGAGCACGATGTTATTTGTTTCGAGATGGAAGCAGCTGGTGTCATGGAAGAGTACCCATGTGTTGTTGTTCGTGGCATTTGCGACTATGCAGACTCGCATAAGAATAAAGGCTGGCAGAACTACGCGGCTGCCACGGCCGCAGCGTGTGCTAAAGGACTGTTGTCTAAGATCCCTGCAGTCGAAACTACCAGTGGTGCGCCGTCGGCAGAGTCGTCTATGCCTCAGCAACCAGCAAGTGTAACAAACATAACGTTTGGTAATAATGACCATGGCGTACAGGGCAGAGACATTCACGGCAACATACATATTGGGTGGTGTTGAGATGTAGTGGTGTATCATAGACACTTAGCAATGAAAAGGATGTTAAAGGGGCTTCTATGTACTGTTAGTTGGGCGTTGCAATGAAATTAATGTTCGAAGAGCCATGGCGAAGCTGGAGGAGCAAGCGGATAAACAACCAGGTCCTGCAGGCTGCATGGCCGCCAGACTGTAGTCGAGGAGGTGCTGCGCCGCAAACTATCACCGCAGACACTATCGCCGTAAGACACACCACTCATGGTGCACGCTCTTTTACGGCAATACCATGACCTCCACGACATCGAATATAGCGTTCGGTAACGCGTACTCTAGCGTCCAAGCTAACAACATCAACGGCTCTGTCCACATTGGTATGTTGCGGGGACTGCCCAAAGGCTGTCAAGCGCTAAGCAGACACGTTGAACAGAACATGAGAACATACTCGATCGTCTTCCACGCGCCGAAGATGCGCCGTTCAACTCGTATGCCAGGCAGCACGAACATGGATGTCTTCCTGACACGCGCGTCGACCTGCTACAAGAGATATACAGTTGGGCGGACGGGCAAGACGAGCGATGCATCTTCTGGCTCAGCGGTCTAGCAGGCACAGGCAAATCGACAGTTGCGCGAACAGTCGCGCATAGTTACTATACCCAGCAGCGTCTCGCTGCTAGCTTCTTCTTTACGCGAGGCGGCGGTGACGTTAGTCACGCTGGCATGTTTGTTACGAGTATTGCGGTGCAGTTGGCAGACAACATTCCAGCGTCCCGCCGTCATATACGCGACGCTATTGCAGAGCGTAGCGGTATCGCCAGACAATCCTTGCGGGACCAGTGGCAGCACCTTATTCTTCGTCCGCTGTCTAAGCTGCACGAGGCTGGATCATATATTATAGTCGTCGATGCCCTTGACGAATGCGACAACGACAGCGATATCCAAATTATCGTGCAGCTGCTGGCCGAGGTGCGGCCGTCATTAGTAGGCGTCCAGCTGCGGGTGTTGCTAACTAGTAGGTCAGAAGTACCTATCCGGCACGGGTTCGGGCAGATGGTAGATTCGAAGCACAAGGACGTCGTGCTGCACAACATCTCACCGTCGGTCGTTGACCATGATATAAGAATTTTTCTTGAGTACTGGCTAAGGACTATGGCAAAAGACTGTTACTACGCGGATGACTGGCCAGGCGCAGAGACTATTGGGAAATTAGTGCAGAGTGCAGGCGGTCTATTTATCTGGGCTGCTACTGCCTATCGCTTTATCCAACAAGGCAGACCATTTCCTGACGACCGACTGCGCGTTGTCCTTAACGACAGCGCCGTTACAGGCTGTTTATTCAAGGATAGCTCATCCAGTGAGGATTCCTACATAGATGATCAGTTTGAGATTCCTCCTGAGAAGCGATTGGACAGTATATATCTCACAGTCCTCAAGCGCCCCGTTCGCCGATATAGAAAGTACGAAAGGAAGAAGTGGTATGCGTTGATGAAAGAGATTTTAGGAGCAATTATACTTCTATACTCGCCGCTTTCTGCAACTTCACTAGCTCAGCTACTCCTTATTTCTACAGAGGAAGTTTACCGAACGCTAGATGAACTGCACTCTATCCTAGACGTTCCACAACGTCCGACTTACCACGTTCGTCTGCATCATCCCTCTTTCCGCGATTTTCTTCTCAACAAAGACCGATGTAGGGATGCCAATCTCTGGGTAGACAAAAAGCAGGCGCATAAAGCACTAGCAGATAAATGTATCCAGCTTTTATCGCGCTTGCTCAAACAAGACATCTGTGGGGCAGGTTTTTCTAATGAGCATATGGCCTGGATGAAGCGGAAGCAACTGGAGCACTCTATTCTTCCTGAGATACAGTATGCATGCCTCTACTGGACTAATCACCTTGCTGAGAGTGGTGTCCAACTTCGTGACAACGACAAAGTGCACGAGTTTCTTAAACAACACTTCCTCCATTGGCTTGAGGCGCTGAGCTGGATGGGTAAGGTCTCTGAAGGCATTTACGCTATTAGCTCCCTTGAGTCAATTGCTCTAGTAAGTACCTTCTGAAACATGCTAACTCTGTTACTGACAATATGTAGGCAACCGACTGTCCTGCTCTTTATGGATTCATCCATGATATGAAGCGGTTTGCGCTGTACAACCGGTCACCGATCGAACTAGCTCCATTGCAGGTGTATAGTAGCGCTCTCCTATTTGCACCGCTGAATAGTATAGTGAAGAAGCAATTTGCGGATCAGCTGACACAATGGATAAAAAGTCCACCTCAGGTAGAAAATGACTGGAGTGCATGTCTGCAGACTCTTGAGGGTCATAGTGGCAGCGTTATTTTAGTCGTCTTCTCGCACGATTCGACACGGCTCGCGTCAGTGTTTGATGATCTGAAAGCTACGATCTGGGACGTTAGAAGCGGCGAGTGTCTGCAGACATTCGAGATCTACAACTACTCGGTGGCTTTCTCGCACGACTTGACGCGGCTGGCATTTGAGTCACATGAGAATACCCTTAAGATCTGGGACATCGGTAGCAGTACGGATTTGAATACACTTGAGGGCCACGGCAACTTTTACTTGATTGCCTTTTCGCACGGCTCTATGCAGCTAGCGTCAGCGTCATACGACGGAACTATCAAGATCTGGGACGCTAACAGCTGTGTGTGCCTGTATACGTCCAAAAGCCATCACGCCGAACTTCTACCGGCAGCCTTCTCGCACAACTTGATGCAGCTAGCATTGAAGTCTGACTATGAGACTATCAAGATCGTGGATACTAGTAGCGGTACATGTCTGCAGACTTTTGAATGCGATTGTGACTGTGTTTTCGGAATAGTATTCTCGCAAAACTTCGCATGGTTGGCATTAGGGGCCTCCAGTTACACCGTCCAGATTTGGGATATTATTAGCGGTGCATGTCTACATACGCTTGAGGGCCATGACGAGGAGGTTAAGTCAGTAGCCTTCTCGCATGACTCAACGCGGCTAGCGTCAGCGTCAGACGATGGGACTATCAAGATCTGGGATACTAGCAGTGGTCTATGCCTACAGACATATGAAGGCCATAGCAGCCTAATTTACTCAGTGGCTTTCTCACACGACTCAACGCAGCTGGCGTCGGCGTCACAGGACGAGACTATCAAAATCTGGGACACTAACAGTGGTGTGTGCCTCCAGACACATGAGGAAAATGAGAACCCTGAAGACAACGTCAGCTCTGTGATGTTGTCGCATGACTTGATGCAGCGGATTCTGGAAACTATGGTCTGTAGTTGCCTGGAAGTAGACAAGCCCAGTTTTAACAAGAGTCCTTACCCTAACGGCTCATTGGCGTTTCCTCATGGCTTGACATGGTACGCTAGTGGATCAAGTGACGGGACTATCAAGATCGCGGATCAAGAAAGCGATATGCGCTTAAAAACACTTGAGGGCCATCGCGATTCTGTTGAATTACTGGCTCTTTCACACGACTCGACACTGCTGGCATCAGCGTCACGGTACCAGACTATCAAGATCTGGGACACTATTAGCGGCAGGTGCCTGCAGACGCTTGAGGCCCATGTCTACGACTCTCCTAGATCAATGGCGTTCTCGCGCGACCGAATACTGCTAGCATCAGGGTTAGCGAATGGAGAAATCCATATTTGGGAAATTAATAGCGGTGCGCTTCGAAAGATGCTTTACGGCAACGATTATTCTGTCGAGAAGGTGGCCTTCTCTGATGACTCAATGCGGTTGGCGTCATTTGCAGTCGACTGGACCATCAACATCTGGAACCCCAACAGCGGCATGCACCTACAGGCAATCAAGACTTGTGATTTTCTCAGTGTTACCGAGGTTTTTGCTTTGCCACGATCTAAAGAAACAGTAACACATCAACAAATCACTAATTACAGCATGAGTGTTTCTAGAGATTGCACTTGGATATTACTGAATGGTCTGAAATGGTTGTGGCTTCCAGTAGAATACCGACCGGGTCACTTCATTATTTCGGATGGATGTATCACCGTAACCACAATTTCAGGAAGAACATGGGGATGTGACTTCATCGAGTCTTTCTAAAATACATACTGTAATAGCTATCAGTTAGTCTATCCACTTCGTTTACTTCTCTCTAGCGATAACGCTCTAGCGACTAAGGTTTCAACCTGGCTACATGTTATCGTCGCTATTGAGCGCTAGAAAATGTAGCAGCTATAATGGTTGATTGCATGATGCTAGAGACTCAAAGTGAATCGATTAATTACTTACTCCCTGGCTCGGCTACTATAGCAGCAACGACTCGCTACATCACGAGCCACCAAATCCTCATTCTTTGCTGCAAGCTTTGCCATTGTGTATAGCTGTGACCTATACTAGATGATATCCTAAATATGGAACGCTAATTTTTGGTGTTGTGGTTCCGTATCGATTGAAGGCTACTTGAAGCTCATCTCAGTGCGTTGCCGATTTTCCGGCCTAGTATCTGCTATCCAACTGGCCACCACCAACGCTCAGCGATTAAACAGCCGTATCTACTATCATTTTCACGAATCAGAGTCTAGCATGTGCTTGATAATTATTTCCTCTTTGGCCGCACTAAGCCCATAGAGATGAAAAAGTGCATTACATTCTATCGTAACCCACTAACTCCAACCTTACGTCAACTTATTCCCAAGGACAAGCTCCTGCCCGATAACCTCATCAAGAATCAATTCTTTGGGTCTCCATTTAAGACCTAGGACCTAGATACCAGGCAATTAGTCAGGTCTTCCATTTACTTCTAGGAATGTCATACAGTTTCGGCACCAGTTACGTCGACTTTCCATTTTCCTCCAAATGGAGGCACTAGTTTAACCTCCAAGCCAGGGAACTTCTTTCGGATGTACTCTATCGCGTTTTCCCATGGAAAGGATGGGCCTGAAAGGAGGAACTCCTTCTCATGTTCGACATTCACATGTAAGGCCTTGACGTGCGCATCTGCAACGTCCTGGACATGCACCCAAGATGTGCCAATGAGCGGCTTCTCTGAGGCAAGTGACTGCCATAGGAGAGCATTAATCCCACCCAAGCCTTCTGCTGTTTCCTGGGTGATGTCATGGCCCATGACGTAGGACGGATGAAGGGTGATGAGTGTGTAATTAGGCTTCCTTTCCTTGACAAAATCACGCGTTGCTTGATGAGCGACGATCTTAGATGCAGAGTATTTGACGACTTGTCCCATGAGGCCTGGAGGGAACTCAGAATCAAGGTCGAGAGGTATGACCTCGCCAGTATTATCTATTCGTATTAGCGAGTGTCCCAGTAGGTGGAGCGAAAACTCACCCTTCACCTCATACTCCAAGTTAGGCCTCGCTAAGACAGATACAGGAAGTAATGCGACACTTGAGGACATGACGATCACCTTCTTGATCTGCGGAAAATCCAACGCAGCTTTGAGGATTGCGAGAGTTGCGTTGACTGCTGGTTCGGCAAAGTCCTTGCGGAAGTCTGTACCGGAACGATCGGGCATAGGTGTTGCGAGATGGATGACATGGTCAGCTTCTGCTAGAGCATGCTTGAACGACTCCGGATCGAAAAAATCCTTCATCAAGATAGTCTCAATAGCTGATGCGAAGTTCGGATACCGCTTCTTGACAATCTCATCTTGCTCTGGCCTGCGTATACTCAGACGTACATGATGTCCAGCTTCAAGTAGGGCTCGAACAGTATGTGCGCCAATGAAACCAGTTCCGCCAGTGATGAATACGAGAGGATTTGACATTGTGAGGATGGGTAGAAGTTATTAGTAGAAGTTACTTTATCTGATATACTGTCTATCCGTAGGGCTTCATCCAAAGATTATTATTTATAGCCATCAACTCTCGACGTACGAGATGGTTGTGATGATAAATAGTCTCATCAGTACGTCTTGGTAAGCATGCGAAGACGCGTAACAGAAAGTTTCTCTTTCGAATAACTGAATGGAGGATCGCTTCGTCCGTTTCGCAATCAGTAAATTGAACCAATCAGCAGCGAGGATAATTTGAGTAGTGGTGCGAAAGCAGTGTGAGTTTGTCAGCTCGGTTTGATCAATTAGGATTACTGATCTTTGCGCCGACCATCAGCTCGGAGAACCGCGGTAGTCGGCCTTTCTCCCATTGCTTTTGTGATAGGCCACTAATCTCCTCCCCTTGAATAATTGGCGCTTCCCCTCCATATTCCCAGCCAGAACACCCAGAGTCGAAGGATGGATCAATAATCCTCTCGGCTCTGATCTTGGATGCTGCGTAATGTGTAGCATTTGAAATCACATCGAGGGAAGTCTCTGCTTGTTTCCTTTAGAGAAGAAGCTGATCCGGACGAATTCACGGATTGGCTGGGGTTCTGCATATAATACCCGGTCAACTTGGAATGTATTTGACTTTAGTATCATCTGAGTATGAAAAAGGACAACTTGAGTAACTCGAGAGAGATACACACTAAAAACTAACGTGCAATCCAATGGCGAACTCTAAACTTATTCTGGTGATTGGTGGAACAGGCGCGCAGGGGGTGCCCGTCGTCAAAGGTCAGTCTTTGTTCACAAGTGTTGGTATATGCACTGACGTTACGATCAGCGCTTTCAAATAGCAATCGATATAGTGTCAGAGTTCTAACTCGAAGTGCCGAATCCACGCGAGCTAGGGAGCTCGCCGCTTTGCCGAATGTCACTCTTATGGAAGGAAGTCAGGATCAGCAAAAAGACCTTCATCAAGCCTTCACTGGCGTATATGGCGCTTGGGTGAACACGGATGGTTTTACTCTCGGAGAAAAGAGCGAGCTGTTCTATGGAATTAGGGCATACGAGATCGCGAGGCATCACGGCGTGAAACATTTTGTCTGGGCAAACACGGACTATGCGGTCAAGAAAGCTGGCTGGGACGAGAAGTATCATTGGGGCCACAATGATGCAAAAGGTCGGGTTGGCGACCTAATTCTTAGCCATGGACAAGAGACTATGAAAACGTCTTTGTTGACTACGGGACCGTACATGGATATGTTGTTTGATGGGATGTTCGTTCCAAAGGAACAAGCCGATGGCTCGTTTGTTTGGGCGAATCCAGCTCGTGAGTCTTGCTTCATTGCTCCTCATATCTCTTAATGAGAGTATGGCTGACTTTTATTCACAGAGAATGGTAAAATTCCACTAATCGCCCTCGCTGATGTGGGTTTCTACAGTCTGTGGATGTTTGACAATCCTTCAGAGTCTGCGGGTTTGGATTTGGAAGTTGCGACGCAGCAAATCAGCTTCGCCCAGATTGTTGAGACATTTACACAAGTCACGGGAAAGAAAGCCGCACATGTTTACGTTCCACTCGAAGATTATCTCCCTGCTGCTGAGCCATATCCCAATGCTTGGGCTAATTGGGCTGCGGGACTAGACGTCGTCCGTGACGAATCATCGATGACGTGGAGGCAGAACTTTGCAGCTTGGTGGCAGTACTGGAGCGAAGGTATTGGAGCAACTAGGGACATGGAACTTTTGGATCGAATTCATCCTAGACGGATTCGCAGCCTTAAAGAGTGGATGGAAAAGGTTGGCTACGATGGTAAGCGCAGGAGTGTTTTGAAAGCTCTTAGAGATTTGAAAAGGGATAAGCCAGAGGGATCCTCGAACAAGAACTTGCTATAAACTAACAGCCTAAAGGCCGGCTTGCAACTTTGATAAATATATCTCGATAATGAACCACTATTCGCCTACGTGCTAACTCTTCGGTTGAACAACCGCATTGAGAAGCACGCCCACCGACTTATTTTAACACGCGTAACCGCAACTAAGCAAGATCGTAAGGCAAGATAGCCTGCATTACATCGAGGCATTGAAAATGCAATTCAGCATAACTCTGTCATTTCACATCTTTGTGTCTGAAAGTTCTCAAAAATCACATCATTTTATGTGAAGATGGATGCAAGATCTCAGTGACTCTGCATCCTGAAGCTGCCAGTCCACAGGTATGGTTAGCGCTCTGAATATACATTAGATCATGAAGGGCTGTAACGAACCTTTGAGACCTCTTATCCATATTGATAGCGAAATGTTTCCGCTTCATAGGTTCAGGTTGAGCTAACCAGTCACTCTCGGCTAAATTCACGCCATCCAGTTTCCTCATCGTCGTTGCTGATACTACTGCGTAGTACTAGCTTGGCTTGATAGCCTGTTAGATGGGTAACCCGAATACGAAAGGGTGGGTGATGTCACGTGACGTTTCACGTGGGCCTTTCTGCATCAGATCACGTGTGAGGCTTTACCGCTAGCAACTTCGATTGGAAGCGGGGGTATGAAACGCTGACAATAATCCGCCGTTCACTAGTTCAGGAGAACGCGCGGCCACCTGTGCTTTTACACATTACACCGCCACGTTTTCCGACTGTGTACAGCCTCAATACCCCTTTGTCAAGCAACTGGCATTCAACCCGTTTCCATAGCAGGTCCCAACTTAGAAGTCAACTTCTGAGGTACGCGTTATAAACTTCGAAAACGAAGCCGCCTCTTGTCTGCCACGGTACCCATTTCTGTCATCTATCATAGGCAAAGTTTAACGGTGCTCGTCTTGATCTTGTACGAAGGATCTTGTTTTGGTTTTAATGAGGAAATCTCGCAGTCCGTGCGCCAAAATTTGACCGAAACACTACATTTCTATCTCAAGATCATCGCTCTCAGTTAGAAAATCGACCAGGAGGCTGAAGTGTGATGATTCAAACAGCTCAAACTCTTCTAGTAGATCCTGTCAGTATTCTATATAGTTGTTTTGCTGTCTGCATGTGCGGGCAGCGAGCTTTGTAGAGTGGATGCACGGGCCATTAATGCCTCATTTAAAACAAGGTCCTTCGTATTTCGAGCGCTCGCTCTGAGAGTGGCCAGCACAGGCGTCGGGTCATTATCAATTTAAGGGTACTAGAAGAGAGGTATAAGAATCAAAGCATTGCTGTTGAGTACATGGTCACACTTCATGTTCATAGCTTGCTTTGTCGGTATCATTCCAACACTCGTTCAAAACCCTTTAGTCCTTCTATACGTCCAACTCACTCTTTATTAAAGCCAAAATGCGTTCCCAAGTCTTGGCTGGTCTTGCCTTTGGCATTGTCGCCGTAGCTGCAGGTGCCCCAGTGGAAAGCCGTGCATCTGAAGAGCAAATCACCATCAACAATGCTGTGTTCGTCCGTAAAGACAGCAATGGCAACGACAACTGGGATGCCATCACTCACGTTGGCCTCACCCTGACCACTCCATCCGGTTCTGTCAGCTGCAATGCAGACAGCTTCCCAGATCCATCAGTCCCATCCAACCTTTACACATGTGCCGACCCTACATATTCTTTCCAGATCACCACTCGCCCGGGTTACAACATCTACGCCATCACTGTCACCCACAAAGTCTCAGACAGGTATGCCGGTTTCTTCTTCTAGCATTCTAATACTGACTGCGATTAGCGTTACTTTGACCGGTATGACCGATGTTGGCTGCAATGGTCCTATTCCGATATCTTGCCAACAAGTTGGTTCCAGGCAAGGCACTCTGACTGCTGCTTGAGCGCCGAACATAAATAATATGAGAATCGAATTGGGCCTCGGACAGGGCCATGCCGCTCATAGAAACAACACTTGATAATAGTAATACTACAGAGAGCGAATCAAAATCTCCCTGGTTCCTTTTCACAGTTCCGTACGCATTATGAAAGAACGGTGGAGTTGTTCGTGATGTTGAACTACAAATCATGCTTGGCGCTCAGCTAGCGCGACTTCGCTTATCTGCCCTACTGAGATGGCCAAGGTGGAATACCGCGCCCCAATCTCACTGTCAGCAATCTTAATCCGTCAATATATTACAATAAATGATACATTTTTCCATCAATCAGAACATCCAGCAATGTTTCAGATCCTCTTCTTCAGTAGTATAGTGGTCAGTATTTCCGCTTGTCAAGCAATTGACAATTCGCGGGAGACCGGGGTTCAATTCCCCGCTGGAGAGTTTCTATCTTTTTATTTTTTCGCCCTCATTTTTTCTCTGTTTTTTAGTTGCTGTTTTACCTAATAGAGGTCGCCCGTCAGATTTCCTACTGAAAAGCTTAGTTCTTTTTTTTGGTAATCTCTAGTCTATAAGAAAAGCGTGTGTTTAAACATTATTTTCATGAGAAACTACATTTACTTGCGCTACGAAGTATTGGCCTCTAGGACGCTTATGCCCAGCTTTATTCGCTATCAGAGCAATTGAGGGATACCTAAGGCTTAGCTATAGTATTTAATCTCAGGCTCGTTAGCTTTCTTCTATATAGTGCTGTTCTCACTTCCCCGCTTATCTAGAAGAACTGTGAACTACGTACTTATAACTCTGATTTGTCAGAGTGCGCTAGTGATCCAATAAGAAAGTCCACAGAGGCTGCAGGCTTGGTGGCGCGTTTCAACGCCTTATCAGCTTAGTCTTCTTATTTGCATCACAGCTTCCTTGCCGGTTTCTAGCCATGGCCCTTGGTCGAAGCGTGTCAAATATTGCAAAACGGCACTACTGTCGATTACTACATACTTTGGAGGGTAGCCGCGCAATGCCCTTATATCCTCAAATCGACATGAATCCCTTGTTCTGCTACACGAGTGGACGATGGCTATGGAATGAGCGTGAGCAATTGGAAGCGCGATACCGACGTTTTGATGTGTCTAGTCTTCAGCAAGCGGCTTGCTAAGCCGTTGGTGCAAACAAATGTATATCTTTTGAGAAGATCGGCGAAGGCAACTACAACAAGGCATATCGCCTTGAGATGGAAGACGGCCAGAAGATCATCGCAAAAGTCCCACACCCTAACGCTGGCCCACGAATACTTACCACGGCCTCGGAGGTGGCAACTATGGAGTTTGCCCGGACCGTTTTGAACATACCCGTCCCATGAGTTCTCGCTTGGAGTGCTACCGACCAAAATCCTGTCCAAGCAGAATATATTATTATGGAACAAGCGAGGGGCTCCCAACTTCACGAAACTTGGCAGGGTCTTTCATTGCGGAGGAAATGTGATATTGTTCGTGAGTTTGTAGACGTTGAAAGGAAGCTACTCTCAGTCTCCTTTAAAAAGTAAGATTTAGCTTGCTCCAACAGAGAATTTGCGGCCGGTTCAACTTACATAATGTCAGATTAGGATGATTGTATTTTAAAGATACTGGCATTGCAGGATGCGAGCCGGCTGTTGTTACTAGTGGTCCGCAAGATGTCATCATTCACGTCGAATCAACTTATTGCATTGGACCCATCACTCGAAGAGAGTTCTGGGAGAAACAACGCAGTGAAATGCCACATCATGGCCCCTGTAAGTTTCTAGATATCTCTGAACTTCGAATATAGACTTATAACAATTATAGGGACATCTTCTGAGGAATACCTAAAGTCTGTCGCTCGCCGTGAGATCGAATGGATCAATGCCCATACGGACCCACAGGAGCCGAACAAAACTCCATGGCAGTACACGAGTCCACATCAGAAGTCTCAGAGGCTCACAAAGCCCTTTTGGAAAAATTTCTAGCTGCAATTCCGTATATCACTCCCAAGGACCCAGAGCTCGCCTCTCCCAGACTTTGGCACCCAGACTTCCATGCTGGTAACATTTATGTCGACGAGGAAGCCCGGATATCATGCATCATCGAATGGCAGGGAGCATGGACGGCCCCGGTGTTTATCGGAGCCAATCCTCCGTTGCTTCTAGACTATGGGATTGATATGTTGATGAAACTTCCTGAAAACTTCAAAGCACTCGACAATGCTACGAAAGAGAAGCTCAGATACCAAGTATCTCAGTCAGTCTTAGTTCACACGTATGAAACATGTACGGCAGAAAAGAACCCTCTGATGTACAAGGTCATGCGACATCCCCATGGTCAGTCCCTCAAGCAATTAGAAGCTTTTGTTGGCTCTACCTTGGACAACTGTCTCTTTCCCTTTGAAGAATGTTTGATCCGGGTTGAGAGGTGTGTTGATCTGTTTGCCTTTGAGCTCCTTAACTGACTATTGTTGCAGTGAATGGGATCACTTTGGTACTAACGAAACATGTCCGTACCATTTTTCAGCAGAGGAGATATAGCAACACAACGAAGAAGCAGGGTCTTTCAACAAGAGTCAGGAATTTTGGAAAGAGTTACAAGGTGTCTTGACTGATGAGGACTACACACCGAAAGAGAGTTTCGGTAAGGCTGTCAAGATACTCAAAGATTTGCGAGAAGTTGGGCTAGGCGACTTGAAGGGCGAGGAACGAAACAATTTCGACAAAGAGACGCGATGGGTTGCAGATCTCGATGAGCATAACATCTAGCACTTGCACCATTCTCCTAAAAATGATCACACATAGAAACGGCATCAAAAGTGATGCCAAGACAATTATCGACCAGCTAGGTAGCCTCAAGATGATGGAGACCTGAGAGGAGTCAACTACGCCATTTCTGTTTCCCAAGCTATTTTCCTCTAGTCTCAATGATGCAAGCACATGTGCTTCCTACTGATTTGTGCGATCAAGCTAGAGGTCGAGTCCTTATTGAATCGGCTGTTCAAGAGCGCTGGGGAAGCCTCACACTCCTTGCAAGTTGCCGAGTTAGCAGTGAGGAGCTTGTTGGCACAGTCGAAGACGCTGAGGCAGGGTTATATGTTGCATCTTTGGTTGGCATGCAGCTTATGAACAATGGTTCAGGAAGCTTGAACGATGGTTTTGAATCAAAGAGCTGAATCGGTGCAAAAATATACAGATAGAACTAGGGCTAAGTGACAACAAGGCGGACTATAACTCATCTCCATTCTTAACTAGGCCTACCTCCGTAGGATAAGATACTCGTGGTATTAGCCATGCCTAAATATCTTTTGGCGGTGGACAAGCTGCCATGAACATCAATAAGTTTGTACTAGCAGAAACAGCAAGGTAAGCCCTTGAATCACCACTGCATTTTGGATGTACAAGCGGAGTAGGATTGCCCCAAGTAGGCAGATTAGGGATCACTTCAGCGTTGCAGTAAACTGATGTCAGATTTAATGGGTCTTCAATTGTGGGCTCAAAAGGTTCATTGAAACTGATATGCCTAAAGACGGAAACCAGGCTCCTAGGTTACCGTGACTGAAATCGGAAAAACCAACGGATATCGGTAACCCAGAACGGGAAATTTAACAGAAATGTTGGCAAACAGCACAGTTACATAGCGGTCAATATTTCCGCTTGTTAAGCAATAAACAGCTCGCGGAAGACCGGTTCAATTCACTACTAGAGTGATCGTAAAGCCACATGCGCGAAGCGGAAGCTGCAAGCGCATAAGAGTGTAACAAAGGATCAAGCCCTTGCTTGCATCGAGATGCCTTGATTGGATATTCGGCGACATCGGTTGGGAGTGACTCATGCTGCCCCCTCCCAGCCCCTGGCGAAGTCTAGCCGGCTGGCCATCCTGGATCCCTGAAGCCCACTGATAGCGAATGCTCTTGCTTCTCTTGTGCACACAGATGTAGTACGGCATGAACTCTATGCAATAGAATGTCTCTGGGCCTCTAGTGTTCTCGTATCCTATTAAAGAGAGAATCCTTCGTGTGACTTTTAACACGAGATAGGACCGCAGCGAATCGAGATAGGAACGCTAAGGTCTATCCCCATGTGACGAAAAACCCTATGTAATGAAAATGGCCGATTAGATCGCAAGGACTGTAGAGAAGTGCATACTTCTTGTGACCTAATTGGTTATTTTCGTAATATAGAGTTTTCTTTTATCACGCATAGATAAACCTCAATAAAGATTGTAATAGCCCAGCTAATTACCTTTATACTGTGGTCTCCGGCAAAAGTAGTGTTCACTGTCAAAGTTTCTGCCAGGGGGGGGGGTTGGGTTAAGTGCTGGAGATTGTGATAGACTAAAGCGGCATAACAGATCAGTTTTGCACGCTGATCTATAGTAGTTTGTATTATAACTTGTGATTCTCGGATTTTCTTCATTAACTATGAGGCCTTGAGCTTCCATCTCATTCCAAGTTGGTTTAGTTGATTGGCAATCTTTGGCACTACCCTCCCCCTAGCAGAAGCTTTGACAGTGTACACTACTTTTGCCGGAGACTATAGTATGTGCCGCGACATCTATCTTAAAATCTTAAACCTAGTTAGTCAAGGTGAGAAAATAGCGCAATTAAAGTACATCTAATGTTTAAGAATTAAGCCCCATCTTACCTTTGCGAATAATAAACAAAAGGCTATAAATACAGGATTGTTGTCGAAAAAGATCGATGGATATTCTTTTCTAAGCATCTCAAGGCTGTTTTACCTTATCCATCTGACGACGAGATGCGATTCTACCAATATCTATTAAGTGTAGCTATATTCCAAGCTATAGAGGCTAGTGCTTTACCTGAATCATCTACCGGAGTATGTAAAGCTCGTTCTCCAGAAATATTGAGTTGTTCTTATTACTTACATGTTGATTCTACTAGTGTTGAGGTGAATGTGACTGCTATTCTTATGAAATATGCATCAAAGACTTTACTTCGCCCCAGGGAGGTTTTCCATGCACGGCTTTGTGTGCCCCAAAATAGGGTTGGAGTTAGGGTTAAAAGAAATAGTGAATTTGATTGGACTTGTTGTCTTTCTGTAAGCTGGATACTCTAGATACAGTCACTCGTCAAAAGTCTCGTCGCGCTCGTCGCTTGGGCCACGATCACCACTTTCGAAGCTGATTTGAATTTGGAGTATGTCAACCAAAACACAATAGAATTCAATAATTGTTGTTGCAAACCAATCAAAGCTATGTCAATATTTTGTTTGATACCCATCAGCTTTAATTATAGCGTTGAGGCGGTGAGATACAGTATAGAGAAGCTGAGTAATCAAAGAATCAGGTATGGCAGCCCACGCCTCTCGCAATCCATTTTTGAAGCTCTCCCACTCCTCTATCGTATCGCCCATATCGTCAAACTCGGGGTAAAGCTCATTGAGTTTTTTTGAGCGCCCACCACATGTGCTCGATAGAGTTGAGATCGGGCGAGCACGGTGGCCATTCAACCACCCGAACGTCGTGAAGCCGCAACCAATCCATAGAAATATCTGAAGTATGGATTGGTGCGTTATCCTACATATAGTACTCGCCCGTTTCGTAGCTATCAAGTAGGCCTTCTTCTAACGCCCATATATACGATTTGATCGTATATCTGTGTTTTTTAGCGGTGAGATCCTGCCGCATGAAGTGATGCGATCACCGAAAGCTCGGTCTCGGTCCCGCCCCCAAGCATCTGTTAGGCGCCCTAATCAAACTTATAGCACTGTCTCTTAATAAAGATAGAGACTATTATATATAAAATCCTTTCTATAGCTTTTTGTCACGATACTCTAGACAGTAAAGGCTAGCCCTCGGGGACCCGTCGGAGACTACTCGGGCCGGAGGCGCGATAGCCACAGAGATAGAGTATATAGTCCTACTAGAACCCTCGGGTACCCCCCCCAAGGATTCGTCTTAATCTACTCATCTGATATATATTGTGCCTATCTGCGAAACACCTCACACTTTTTTTATTAAATATATATCTATTAAACACATAAAATAACTATTCCTTTAACTATAGAAAGAGCTTATATATATCTTAAGCAGACCTAGCTATTTTAGACCTTTAACTATAACTAATATATTAAAACTAGATAAGAAGAAAACTCTAATAGAATAAAATAAGAAAGCGTGCTATTACATAGGGTTAGGTGCTGATACTTCTCTAGGCTCGATCTAGGTTAGGGCGAGTGAGATAGTGTAAAGAGCGCCGTAAGGTAGTTATTGTGGCACGATACGTGATCGAGCTTAGGCTGGTCATTGTAACGGCGCAGGCAAGACTACTCGGATCAGTATCGGCGGTAGTGTCACTCAGAGGCATATGGGAGTGCGTGGGACATCAAAAGAGCCTTGATTCAAATAGACACCTATAGGCCTTGTACGAAAGGATATCAAAAGTCTACAGAGCTAGCTACAGGAGGTGTCTCAATAAATACCCGTCCTTAGTCGGATCCGACTCAAGATCAAT